CATTATATATACACTACCGGTCAAAAGTTTTAGAACACCTACATTTTTCCAGTTTTGATTGAAATTCAGTTTTATTTCTTAATGTACTCTGAAATTAAAGCATAGAACAAATAAACAATTGGAGACAAAAAATAAATCATGGAACAGCTGTAAGTTGTTAACCCATTTCTTGTTCCCTGAAAAAGGCATTTTTTTCAGTTTTTGGTAACCTAAACTTTTTATTTTTTAACCTCTGGCAGTTTACCGCTTACCTTTGTACCATTTCACATTACTCACTGGACTTGAACTGCTTAAATTTCAATAAAACTTGAAAAATGGGGGTGTTCTAAAACTTTTGACTGGCAGTATATACATATATTTCCTGAGCTTTCTTATATCTCCTAGATATAGGACAGACACTTCAAAACTGCATTCCTTATGATACATTTTTTGACTGTCTATTTGCCATTTATGAATGTGTTTTTGAATGTGTTTCTATGAGCTATAGTAGTAAAGGCCAAATACACCACGGCTAAGGGCTGTATTAAGGCACTCTGTGTTGCTTCTTGCATAAGAACAGCTCTTAGCCATGGGTGCATAAGAACAGCCCTTAGCCATTGTATATTGACCATATACCACACCCCCTCTGGCCTTATTGCTTAAATATAACACTATTGAAAGAAACCCTCCTCTTCTCCTCTTCTAGTGTGCGGTCATCCAGCGGTGTCCCTGGAGAGTTACCAGAGGGTTCTGGGTGGGGATGTTGCTCCTAACGCAATCTTCCCCTGGTATGCTTAGTTCAGAGTCAAAGACAGAGTAATGAGTGGGCCGCAGTGATCAGAGACCCGTGGGTCATGACCTCTGAACTGACCAAGGAAGACATTAAGGTAACGGTCATACGATGCTGTATGGGCCCGATCCCGATGTAGGAATTTATGCCTTTCCTACGCACTTCTTGTCACACCCTGATCTGTTTCACCTGTCTTGTTCTTGTCTCCATCTCCCTCCAGGTGTCGCCCATTTTCCCCATTATCCCCTGTGCATTTATACCTGTGTTTTCTGTTTGTCTGTTGCCAGTTCGTCTTGTCTCGTCAAGCCTACCAGCGTGTTTTATCCCTGTTTTCTAGTTCTTCCGGTTTTGACCATTCTGCCTGCCCTGACCCTGAGCCTGAGCCTGCCTGCCGTTCTGTAACTTTCTGACACTGCCCTGGATTACGGACCTCTGTCTGCCCTTGAGCTGTTGTTTGCCTGCCCCCTGTTTTGTAAATAAACATCTGTGATTCGAACTGTCTGCATCTGGGTCTTATCCTGAGTTCTGATACTTGTCAGTATTTGGTATTCAGACTTATTTAGTCGAGTAACATGCTCTGCAGGTGTGGCTACCCTGCGTGCTTTGCATACATTTCATTCAACCACTGAAAACCCTCCCACTTGCTTGCCAACATATTTTCTCGTGGAGTTTTCATTCAATGGGGCTTCCTGTACATTTATCTTAAGCCATCCCTTTAAATATGGTGCACCTTTAATTATCACTTTGTTTAGTATTCTATCAGAAAAAGGACATGTTTGACTTTCAGAAAAACATATTGGTCAAGCTCAGGTACTTACAACATTTTTGGGTGCATTTTCCAATTTGTTAGGCACATAATCCTGACAAGGTGGAACCTAACAGGGTGGAAATGTTGAGCCTAAGTTAGCCATAGCTCTGTGAGTGAGCAAGATTGATCTAGCATAATGGTGAACACTTGAACTTGATTTTAACTTCCCTATCAAACATATTTTAACATTTAGATTATTACATTTTTTCTCTATAATTTAGCCAGGGTGGACATTTTTGAGTGGGACATGCATACTAACAACATGGACAAATAGATACAACTGAGTGTTTATTTATTTAGCTTTGCATCATTGTTTTCCCACCAAAGAAATTATGACACTTCCTGAATGTGGTGTCATTGTAGGAAGGGGATGTTTTCTTAAATGGAGAATTACAACAAACTAACAGTGTTGAAAGTGATATCAGGGACACACAGAACATCTTAAATAAAATAATAACAAATACAATAATCATGAGAAACTGTATTGATGAAAGACTTTAACTAGGACTATAAAATAATGAATAAAGATTTTATTTTATGGCTTGTATTTCTTGTGGAAGTTGATAAATAACACTTGGGGACATGGCCAAAACACCTACATCCACTGACAAAAAGTGTTTAAAATGCATAAAATTCACTTTCAGGATCCATATTTTGGTGTTGTTAAGGTAAAGGACACCTGACCTTATATTTAAAGCCTTTTGGAATCCACATTTTACAGTAAATAAAGTGATATTTCCTGGGGACAGAAAAGGCACCACATGATAGGAATGACCCTGCTACGTGTGGTCTGAGTTCCATAATGATTCATTATTGCACAACGTTAGCCTAATATGATCTACGAATGCTAGCAACCCTCAGGAACAATTTACAAGAACGTGACAGAAAAAAGAAAGGTAAACTGAATGGAATGGAATGATGCAAAAATAAATGTATGGGTATTACTGACGGTGGCTCCAGATGGTGGCTAATATTTAACATGGAAAAAGGGAAAAGGAGTAAAGCCCCGGCATATACTCATAACATTGTAAAGGGCATACATCAACTGGGCAGGTTCAACCCTACAGAAGCCTTGGGTCTCCTAATTTCATCCACGCAAATTGAAGGCACACAATTAGAATTCTGAATAACAGCACAGCTATTTATATCCTATTTCACTGCGCAATACATGTCATGTTGATATGATTTTCAGTTTGCTTCCTTATGGCTGGACAAATCATCTAAAACAATTGCTTTGTGTATTTGCAATCCTCTTCTCCAAACGGATTACTCATTTACCTAGCTCTTATCAATAGATCTAATTAAGTTGTAAATTACAGTGCATGGAGAATGGTGTTATTTCTATGGGAAAAGTAGATGCTTTTTCCACTTGGAACTGGTAGGTTTGCTAGACCTTATTTATGGTTTCCTCACGCTTAAAGGTGGTGGAATTATTAGGGAATTAAGTCAAGATCAGAATATGGTGTATCTGTAGACACACCTCCGCCACACCTTCATTTATTCGAGCTCCACCTCAAACAAATTACAGATACTTTTGGCCAAATGAAGATAATGACATCGGCCTGATCAAACTCCAACAGCCAATCACATTCAACGATTCAGTGATGCCACTGTGTCTGCCAGCAGCAGGTGCTAAATACACCCCTGGGAAGATTGGGTAAGAGAGAGATTGTAGCCATTGCTGACCAATAATGTTGCAAGAGCATGATATACCGACCACCAACCACTGGTTTTGAGGTTCATTTCATTCAGCGGATGTTAATTTCATTCAGTATTTAACTCTCTCTCTCTCGCTCTCCGCTCCCTCTTTCTCTCCAGGGTTTGGTGTAGGAGTCGTGACATAATTTTCATTATAAACTGGGTGGTTTGAGCCCTGAATGCTGATTGGCTGACAGCTGTGGTATATCAGACCGTATACCACGTGTATGACAAAACATTTATTTTACTGTTCTAAATACATTGGTAATCAGTTTATAATAGCAATAAGGCACCTCTGGGGTTTGTGATATATGGCCAATATACCACGGCTAAGGGCTGTGTCCAGGCACTCCACGTTGCGTTGTGCGTAAGAACAGACCTTAGCCATGGTATATTGGCCAATATACCACACCCCCTCGGGCCTTATTGCTTAAATAAGCTCCAATATGTCCAGCTTCCTGTAGTGGATCAGGAAACATGCAGAGCTGCTGTTGCCCCGAATGATAGTGGGACACAACTGGGACATGTTCTGTGCCACATTACCTGAGGGGGGCAAGTCTAAATGTACAGGGGACAATGGAGGGGTGTACGTCCTGAAGGAGGCTGAACATTTCTGGGCAGCAGGGATCATTAGCTGGGCAAAATGATGTGTACAACCAGGCCAATATGGGGTAAACACCCACATGGCTAACTACATATACTGGATCAAGAACACCATGAAGGAGAACTAGACTAATATGAGTTGTAGTGGCAATCAATGACGTCTGTTCTCTCAACATCTGTCTTTCTGTGTCATTAAACATTTATAAAGTGGAACCTCTATTTATTTTGCACACTTCCAAATAAATCTCACAATATATTAATACTATTTCATTTATGATGGCAACACACTGTAGGCTTAGAAAAGAAAAGCTGGACACATTTCCGAGGCTCAGATGCAATGAATGCACTAAATACCAACGTTTCCACAGCTAAGCTGCCTTCATCAGGGTTTTATCTATCTAACATACTGTAGGCTGTCATATCTCATAACTAAACATGTGACCAGGGATGTAGTTTAAAAAAGGTAGATCATCTGAATACTATAGTGGATAGTGTTTAGTGTATAGTGTGTTCTTCATGAAAAGGTCAACAGTGTAGCACCACTACAGTACATCCCTTCAGCGTGTGACCTGAACTGACATACCCAGGCCAGCATGGAGTTTGTCCCTATGTGTAAACAAAACAAACTTATCAAACAGACTTTACGGGAAGACCACTGAACACACAACACTTTCCTCCCATTCTCTCCCTCTCTCTCTCTCTCCTCCCTCCCCTTTTCTCCCCCTTCCTCCCCCTCTACCCCCTGCCCCCCCCCCCCCCCCCCCCCCCCCCCCCCCCTCCAACCTCTGGTAGATCCGCATTCTGCCTTTTATAGTTTAACATTTTCAACATTAACGTAAAAAAAGCTTTACCTTAGTCTTTTAACTCCACCACCACCACTACTCTTTCGCTCGGTCTCTTTCACCTCTCCCTCTCTCTCTTCCCCCCTTCTCTTTCGTCTATTTCAGCCAAGTCAAACAGGGCAGGTTTTAACATGACTTTTAGACTCCTAGCATAATACTTCACCATAGGTCTCTATTGGGACACACAGACTGCAGGGAATTCAGGTCTAATACATGTGAGCAATAGCAACACAACAGTAAAACAATAACAACAGAAACATTTGTTGCCAGGACCTTCAACATGGACTGGACCCATCCGTTCATCTGGTGAGTTTGTTTGGTTACACTGTACTTGAACCCATTGGCTATAGGTAAGTGAACCTAAACAACAACTGCTTTCGTGAGTGTCTAAAGTCAGTTGTCATAAACAGACCAGCTGCCGTGAAGGTGTACAATTACATTGTGTCACATAACTAGCACTTGTGAGAAAGAGTTCAAATAAAGTGTAACCTGTTTGTTAATATTTGTCAAGGGCTGAGCGTAGATGTGGTGCAGAAATCAAGCGCAGGACTACAGAGGCTCTTCAACAGTCTTTAGTGAGGATCAAACAAATACAAAAGGCTCACGGCAAAATCCCAGCCGGAGGGCAAGCGAAACAATTACGCACACAGGGAACAGTGCATAACCCAAACTGCGCACACAGTGCGGACACTCTCTCAAAACAAACACAGAACGAGAGAGAACAAACTAACGCCTAGCTGACACGAAACAATTACACACAACACATGACAAAACCTAAGAGAACTTATAGGGCACATAATCAACACTAACAAAGAACACCAGAACGGTGGCAGCTAGTACTCCGGAGACGACGACCGCCGAAGCCTGCCCGAACAAGGAGGAGGAGCAGCCTCGGCCGAAACCATGACAGTACCCCCCCCTTGACGCGCGGCTCCAGCCGTGCGCCGACCCCGGCCTCGAGGACGACCAGGCGGACGCGGAGCAGGGCGCGTAGGATGACCACGATGGAACTCGGTCAGAAGAGACGGGTCTAAGATGTCCCTCCTCGGCACCCAGCACCGCTCCTCCGGGCCGTACCCCTCCCACTCCACGAGATATTGGAGCCCCCCCATCCGGCGTCTCGAATCCAGGATGGACCGAACAGTGTACGCCCGAGCCCCCTCGATGTCCAGCGGGGGCGGAGGAGTCTCCTCTATCTCAAAGTCCTGGAGTGGACCAGCTACCACCGGCCTGAGGAGAGACACATGGAACGAGGGGTTAATATTCTTGTAATCAATAGGCAATTGTAACCTGTAACACACCTCGTTCAACCTCCTCAGGACTTTAAAAGGCCCCACAAACCGCCGACCCAGCTTCCGGCAGGGCAGACGGAGGGGCAGGTTTCTGGTCGAGAGCCAGACCCGATCTCCCGGTGCGTACACCGGTCCCTCACTGCGGTGGAGATCGGCGCTCGTCTTCTGTTGACGGATGGCCCGCTGCAGATGGACGTGAGCAGCGTTCCACGTCTCCTCCGAGCGCCGCACCCACTCATCCACCGCAGGGGCCTCGATCTGGCTCTGATGCCAAGGTGCCAGAGCCGGCTGGTATCCTAAAACACACTGGAACGGAGTTAGTTTGGTGGAGGAGTGGCGGAGAGAGTTCTGTGCCATCTCGGCCCAGGGAACATACCTCGCCCACTCCTCCGGCCGGCCCTGGCAATATGACCTCAGAAACCTACCCACATCCTGGTTCACACGTTCGACCTGCCCATTGCTCTCCGGGTGGTACCCCGAGGTAAGGCTAACCGAAATCCCCAAGCGCTCCATAAAAGCTCTCCAGACTCTGGAGGTAAATTGGGGGCCTCGATCAGACACTATATCTTCGGGTACCCCGTAATGCCGGAAGACGTGGGTGAATAGTGCCTCAGTGGTCTGTAGGGCAGTAGGGAGACCCGGCATGGGAAGGAGACGACAGGCCTTCGAGAACCGGTTCACAACGACCAGAATGCTGGTATTCCCCTGTGAGGGGGGAAGGTCTGTAACAAAATCCACCGAGAGGTGCGACCAGGGCCGTTGTGGAACGGGCAGGGGTTGTAACTTACCCCTGGGCAAATGTCTAGGCGCCTTACACTGGGCACACACCGAGCAGGAGGAGACATAAACCCTCACATCCCTGGCTAACGTTGGCCACCAGTACTTCGTGCTAAGGCAGTGCACTGTCCGACCAATACCTGGATGGCCAGAGGAGGGTGACGTGTGAGCCCAATAAATGAGTCGATCCCGAACCTCGAGCGGAACGTACGTCCGACCCACCGGACACTGGGGAGGACTAGGGTCGGTACGTAACGCCCGCTCGATTTCAGCATCGACCTCCCACACCACCGGTGCCACCAAACAAGACTTCGGTATTATGGGAGTGGGCTCAACGGACCTCTCCTCTGTGTCATACCGCCGAGACAGGGCGTCTGCCTTTCCGTTCTGGGACCCAGGAATGTAAGTGATCTTAAACACGAACCTGGCTAGAAACATAGTCCACCGCGCCTGGCGAGGATTTAGTCTCCTAGCTGCCCGAATGTATTCCAGATTACGGTGGTCAGTCAAAATGAGAAAAGGGTGTTGAGCCCCCTCAAGCCAATGCCTCCACACCTTTAGGGCCTGTACCACGGCTAACAGCTCCCTGTCCCCTAAGTCATAATTTCGCTCCGCCGGACTGAGCTTTTTCGAGTAAAAGGCACAGGGGCGGAGTTTAGGTGGCGTGCCGGACCGTTGCGAGAGAACGGCTCCGATACCGGCCTCTGACGCGTCCACCTCCACTTGGAATGGTAAAGCGGGATCCGGGTGCACCAGCACCGGCGCCGAAGTAAACAGGTCCTTCAGTCTCCCAAAAGCCCTGTCCGCTTCAACTGACCACCGCAAGCGCACCGGACCCCCCTTCAGAAGGGACGTGATGGGAGCTGCCACCTGTCCAAAACCCCGGATAAACCTCCGGTAATAATTCGCAAAGCCCAAGAACTGCTGCACCTCTTTAACTGTGGTTGGGGTTTGCCAATTACGCACGGCTGACACACGGTCAACCTCCATCTTCACCCCTGACGCAGACAACTGATAACCCAAAAAGGAGACCGACTCCTGGAAAAACAGACATTTCTCTGCCTTGACATACAGGTCGTGCTCCAACAGTCTCCTCAATAATCGGCGCACCAGGGCTACATGCTCGGCTCGGGTAGAACTGTACACCAGAATATCGTCTATATACACGACCACCCCCTGTCCCTGCATGTCCCGGAAAATCTCATCTACAAAGGATTGGAAGACTGACGGAGCATTCATTAAACCGTATGGCATGACGAGATACTCGTAATGACCCGAGGTGGTACTAAATGCTGTCTTCCATTCATCGCCCTCCCTAATGTGCACCAAGTTGTAGGCGCTCCTGAGGTCCAATTTTGTGAAGAACCTTGCCCCGTGTAATGACTCCGTCATAGTCGCAATCAGAGGGAGTGGATAACTGTATATTACAGTAATCTGATTGAGACCACGGTAATCAATACACGGGTGCAAACCTCCATCTTTCTTCTTCACAAAAAATAAGCTCGAGGACGCAGGGGAAGTGGAGGGCCGTATGTATCCCTGTCTCAGAGACTCAGCTATGTATGTCTCCATAGCTCTCTTCTCCTCTTGCGACAACGGATACACATGGCTCCGCGGGAGCGCAGCTCCTGCCTGGAGATCTATCGCACAATCCCCCTGTCTATGAGGTGGCAATCGCGCCGCCCTCGCCTTGCTAAACACGACTGCCAGATCCTCATACTCGGGGGGAATGTGCAATGCGGGCACTTGGTTTGGACTCTCCACCGAGGTCGCCCCCACGGAAACACCCAGACATCACCCCCCACACTGGGCAGACCACCCCTTAAGAGCCCTCTCGCGCCACGAAATAGTGGGATCATGAGTAATCAACCAGGGAAGCCCCAGCACCACCGGATACGCAGGAGAGTCAATCAGATATAGCTGAATCGTCTCCTCATGACCCCCCTGCGTCTCCATCCTAAGTGGCGCTGTGACCTCCCTAATCAACCCCGATCCTAACGGACGGCTATCTAGGGCATGTACAGGGAAGGGATCTTTAACAGGAAGGAGAGGAATCCCTTTACAAAACGTACGATCTACAAAATTCCCAGCCGCGCCTGAATCTACTAGCGCCTTATGCTGGGAACGAGGTGCAACCTGTAAAAAACAAACAGGTATGGTTATGTGCACGACAGAGAGCTCTGGGTAAGTGGGGCGCCTACTCACCAGGAAGGACTCCCCAGCGCGTGGCCTGCCGTCTCGTCCCTCAGGAGACCCTCCCCAGCACCTGGCCGCAGTGTGTCCTCCACGGCCACAGTTGGTGCAGGGGATGGCCCCCCTCGAACTCCCTCTCCTCCGTTCTCTAGCGCCAGCCCCCCCGAGCTCCATGGGACTCGACTCGGAGGTGCTGGAGGGTGGAATGGGCGACCCCCCCCCAGGGCGTCCACGGGTGGCCAGCAGGGTGTCTAGGCGAATTGCCATGTCCACCAGTTGGTCAAAGGTGAGAGTGGTGTTCCTGCAGGCCAACTCTCTACGGACTTCCTCCCTGAGGCTGCAGCGAAAGTGGTCTATGAGGGCCCGCTCATTCCACCCTGCATCAGCCGCTAGAGTCCGGAACTCCAGTGCAAAATCTTGGGCACTCCTCATCCCCTGCCGGAGGTAGAACAGACGCTCCCCCGCCGCTTTCCCCTCTGGTGGATGGTCGAACACAGTCCGGAAGCGGCGGGAGAATTCTGCATATGTGATAGTAGCGGCGTCTATCCTCCTCCATTCGGCGTTGGCCCATTCCAACGCCTTGCCGGTGAGACAGGAGATGAGGGCGGAAACGCTCTCGTATCCCGAGGGCACCGGGTGTACAGTGGCTAGGTAAAGTTCGACTTGTAGAAGGAAACCCTGACACCCGGCAGCGGTGCCATCATACGCCCTCGGGAGCGAGAGCCGAATCACACTGGGTTCCGGAAGTTGAACAGGCGGACTGGCTGATGGCGATGGTGCGATGGGTGGATGCGTGGGAGCCCCGCCGATCTCCCATCTACGGATGGTCTCCACCACCCCCTCGAGAGAGTTCCCAATCCAGCTGATCTTTTGATCCTGTTCGCGAAGGCGCTCCTCGATTGCCTCGACAGATGAGGCGGCTCCTGCTGATTCCATAATGGTGTGCAATTCTGTCAAGGGCTGAGCATAGATGTGGTGCAGAAATCAAGCGCAGGACTACAGAGGCTCTTCAACAGTCTTTAGTGAGGATCAAACAAATACAAAAGGCTCACGGCAAAATCCCAGCCGGAGGGCAAGCGAAACAATTACGCACACAGGGAACAGTGCGTAACCCAAACTGCGCACACAGTGCGGACACTCTCTCAAAACAAACACAGAACGAGAGAGAACAAACTAACGCCTAGCTGACACGAAACAATTACACACAACACATGACAAAACCTAAGAGAACTTATAGGGCACATAATCAACACTAACAAAGAACAGGTGTACAAACAGACCAAACCAAACGAACATCGAAACATAGAACGGTGGCAGCTAGTACTCCGGAGACGACGACCGCCGAAGCCTGCCCGAACAAGGAGGAGGAGCAGCCTCGGCCGAAACCGTGACAATATTACACAGCACACCAGTGGTTTTAATGTTTATTGAGCCTTCATCTTGAAGGATGATAAGAACTTATGATTCCTACAGCATCATTAGATTATGTTTTCTTCTACTTCCTGGCCACAGATCAGAAAATAGCTCTCTTTCTGATCAGAGTCATCCTACAGACATGTTTCAAGGGGCTGTATTTACCTTGTTGTGACACACAACTCCTCCTATACCTCCCATCTCAGCCCTCTCTCCCTGTGTTGCTCTGCTCCAGGCTGCTTTGTGTCTCTGTGTGTGAGTGTTGGCGGTTGGCCCGGTCCCTGCCAGCCCTACATGGGGAGGTCCAGTCCCCCCAGTTCCCCCAGCCATACCCTGCTGCCCTGTCACAACAGTGGGACCTCAGTGTACCTGAGGGCTACCAGCTCCAGCTCAGCTTCACTCAACTGGACATCGAGCCTTCCGCCAACTGTTACTACGACTCACTCACGGTCAGTGGACCTCAAAAGAATACTTCGATACCTTATTATAAAATGTATTAGGATGTATTCAATGTTTCTTACCGATATTGAAATATGTCCAAGAACCTTCTTCACTCTGTCATTCCAGGTTTTATATGACAAGAAGGTCCTTGCAAAGTTCTGTGGTCAGGAGAATTCTGCTGATGGACATCACCCAGGCAACCAGCCACTCTTGTCTCCAGGCAACAGGCTCACCCTGGTCTTTCAGACAGACGACACGAACCCTGAGCCACACCAGCACCTTGGCTTCTCCGCCCACTATCAGGCCAAAGGTAGTGTAGCCCGTACCAACCCCACTAGAGGATCAGATACCCTGCTCACAACAGTACTACATATCCAAGCCAACTGTAGAACACTGTTAAACCACAAACACCATGCAAGTCTCAGGGAAGGTGACATCACTGTGTGATGCTAAGCTACACCCCCCACCTCTCTCCTTCCCTCCACCTCTCTTCTCCATCCCTCTCTCCATCCCTATCCCAGACATAGATGAGTGTTCAGCTCCAGACCCTGAGGATGGTTCTGGTCCACTCTGCTCCCAGTTCTGCCACAACACCCTGGGCTCCTACATGTGCTCCTGTCGCCATGGCTACGAGCTCCGCCCTGACCAGCGCACTTGTGTCTGTGAGTACACCTACTCTCTATCTGTGTGTGTGTGTGTGTGTGTGTGTGTACTGTAGTCCTATACATCTTATGGACATCTCTCTCTCCCCCTGACCAGTGTCCTGTGGTGGGGGTATATTTGATGAACCAGAGGGGACTCTGTCCAGCCCGGGGTACCCTGACCCGTCACCCCACGGCCTGGCCTGTCAGTACGTCATCTCTGTGGAGCCTGGGTTCATCGTCACCCTCAACTTCACTGACAGCTTCCACATAGAGCACATAGGCACCCAGAATGTACCCAGCTGCCTCTACCACTGGCTACAGGTAACACTGTACACTGCATTAATTAAGTATTGAATGTGTGTGTTTGTTCATGTGTGTGTTCATGCATGTGTGTGTGTCAAGGTTTGTGTCTGTGTTCAGGACGCTATGTTTACAGTGTTTGATATCTCCTCTGCCTCACCCAGGTGTCCATCCCAGACAAGGAACCCCAGAAGCTGTGTGGAGGGAAGAGTCCTGGACTAATGCCCACTAACTCTCACACTGTCCAGCTAGACTACCACACAGACTGGGCTGGTCTGAGCCAGGGCTGGAGCCTCCACTACACTACTCAGAGTGAGAGAGGGTGGGGGAAAGGCATAGAGAGGGAGAACAGAGGTAGAGGGAGATACTGGAAGAGGACAGGGAGAAAGACAGAGCAAGGGAGAGTATGAAGGGAAGGCCAGATGCAAACTGGTGAAGGGCAAAAAAGGTGAGAAGGTAAAACCTCCCGGAAGTAAAGCAGAGAATACAGGTCAAAGTTGATATGTCTGTGTTGTTGTTCATAGGGGTGCAGTGTGCTTCACCCAGTTATGTCACCAATGGAAGAGTCACCCCAAACTTTCTCCAGTACTATTACCGAGACTACATCCAAGTCCGCTGTGACTCTGGCTACAAACTAATTATGGTGAGATTAAACAATCCCTTTTTTACCCTGCCTCTTATCATTCTCTCTTTCCTCATACTTCCTTCTCTCTTTCCTTCTCTTGTTTATATTCAGTCTTTCTATTTTCTTCAAGGGCTCTTTTCCTGGAAATATCCCCTGTGAAGAGCGACTAAACTGTCAGTGTATCGACTAAACTCTCTCTCTCTCTCTCTCTCTCTCTCTCTCTCTCTCTCTCCTCTCTCTCTCTCTCTCTCTCTCTCTCTCTCTCTCTCTCTCTCTCTCTCTCGCTCCTCTCTCTCTCTCTCTCTCTCCTCTCTCTCCTCTCTCTCTCTCGCTCTCTCTCTCTCTCTCTCGCTCTCTCTCTCTCTCCGCTCTCTCTCACTCGCTCTCTCGTTCTCTCTCTCTCTCTCTCTCTCTCTCTCTCTCTCGGCTCTCGCTCTCTCTCTCTCTCTCGCTCTCTCTCTCTCTCTCTCTCTCTCTCTCTCTCTCTCTCTCTCTCTCTCTCTCTCTCTCTCTCTCTCTCTCTCTCTCTCTCTCTCTCTCTCTCTCTCTCAGGATGGCAGAGAGATCAAGAGCTATGCCTCCATGTGTCAAAATAATGGAAAGTGGCACCTCTCCCTCCCTGAGTGCCACAGTGAGTCACAACCATAGAAATACAACCTAATACAGTCAAGTTCCACATTAAACACAGATGTATTTTGGTTTCTCTCTCTCTTTCTCTCTCTCTCTCTCTCTCTCTCTCTCTCTCTCTCTCTCTCTCTCTCTCTCTCTCCTGTGCAGTAATTGACTGTGGGGAACCTGAAGCATTGTTGAATGGAGGGGTAAAGTTCATATCTGGCTCTCAGAACCAGTACCTCTCCGTCATTCAGTACCACTGCAATGAACCTTTCTACTCACTCCTTGGAGGAGCAACTGGTGAGATGTTTAACTATCCTTCATCAGTCACACACATTTGCTCACTAAACAATAATATTTTTTTATTTAATTTGTGTTGACAACCACTCTATGTCTGTCTGTCTGTCCTTCAGTGAGCTACACTTGTGCAGCAGATAGAAAGTGGAGAGACAACCTTGATACCCATGTCATTCCCTCATGTATCCCAGGTAACTCCTTAAGTACCATTTTCTTTACCATATCCCCCAAATACCATCCTGTATGTATTTGTGTGACCCTCATCACTACTTTACCCCCCACCCCCAGTCTGTGGCCAGCCCACGGAGCCCATCTCAGGCTTTCAGAGGATCATGGGGGGAGACAAAGCCCCAGACAAAACCATACCCTGGCAGGTGATGCTCAGTGTGGACGGAAGCAGAGGAGGGGCCATTGTGATCGGGGACCGCTGGATCATGACTGCAGCTCATAACCTGGTGCAACAGGGCACACCTGTGCTAAAGGAGAAACTTCGGGTAGGTAGATTGTGACACGTACCCATCAATTCATTGGACACTGGAGAACAAAATAATTTCCTGCTTATGTTTTTAAAGGTATAGTAACTACAGGCAAAGAGAAGCCTTCAGTACTTTGGTAAAGCCACCACAGGCTAACGTTTGAATTACGTGTGTAGAAGTCCTTCAGTGATGTCAGATTTTAAGAAGTTGAAGATCTATTCTGAAGTTGAATTCTGTTTTGATTTCAAGGTTTTTGTGGGAGACAATGATGCAGAAAAACTAGCAAAGCTCACCCCTCTTGGTGTCGCCTCTCTCCACCCCCACCCTGAATACAATAACCCAGATGATGCAAACTACAATCATGACATTGCCCTGATAAAACTCCAACAATCACTCACATTCCACGCTGCCATTATGCCATTGTGTCTGCCACCAGAGGGCGCTACATACACCAGTGGCCAGATTGGGTGAGAACCAGACTTGTCCTGTTCGTTATTAAAAATGAGAAAGCTGAACATCAATATGAAAATGTATGTTATTAAAGACATAAATAAGAACACAAAGAGGAAGTCCATTTTGAAGGGATAGATAGACCCACATTTCATAATGTGTTAATTCTTGTTATGGAAGTAGTCTATGCGCCAAGGGTGCAACCTACAATTTTCATGAACTTCTTTTTGAAATCCTTGAATTCCATTGCAAAATCTAAAGTAGTCTAAGTGCACAACCAGTCCTTAGCAGTCCATAGATCATCAATGTTCAAAAAAGTTAATGAATGTAACACAATCGTTTTCTGAGTAACTCCTTGACCTCTTTCCTGACCTCTTTCCCTTTTCAGTATGGTGTCAGGCTTTGGCATTAAAGAACATGACATCATTGCCAACGAGCTCAGGTATATACGCCTACCAGTAGTGGGTGAGGATATGTGCCAAGACTCTGTCAAAAAAGCAAAAGCAGCAACGCCAACAACGAGGATCCCTCTTCTGACAGACAACATGTTCTGTGCCGGAGTACCTGAGGGGGGCAAGGACTCCTGTATGGGGGACAGTGGAGGGGCGTATGTCTTGAAGGATGATAGTACTAAACGTTTTTGGGCTGCAGGTATTGTCAGTTGGGGTGTGGGTTGTGGTCAGAGTGGTAGATATGGAGTGTACACCCGTGTGGCTAAATACATTGGCTGGATCAACAAAACCATGGAGGACAATAAGTAAAATATATAGGTGAAGATAACGAGGGAAAGAGAACAGAAATACCGATGTAATTTTAATTCAAGTCATGCTTTATGAATCCAAATAAAGCCCTAACGTTTCATCTCTGCTTTTCTCGTGTGTGTTTGTGTGTGAGCGTGCGTTCCTGTTTGCGTGTTTGTGTCTGAGAAGAAAGATAGAACGAAAGATAAGAGCTTCGACAATTTTGTGCTTGTGGACACACATTTCTCTTTGCAACCAATGAGGAATTGCGTTATTGCTCTGTGATTGGAGGATATGCAGAAAAATGAACAACTCTCTTTCACTTTCATTCAGCAACGTTTCTCAAAATTCTACAATGACGCACCTGCGTCAAACGCTGAAAACAACCTATAGCTCAATGGAAACAACACATACGCTGGAAACATGGCATATATTAATCGGTGTTTGTTAAAATTAATACGTCTGATAAATCTTTAAATATTATTTCAAACTAATGACGTTCTACGCGAACATTTAGTTGACCATTTTACTTTATTTATTTGGTTTACCTTAAAACAAAAGTGAAAGTAACTTCACTGTAAAACAGCCTAACATTTTAACTGTCTCTAAATTGTATTCTTATATCTTCGACTTTGATTTCGAGGGTGGTCATTAATTAAATTATGAAATTAGGGGTCTATTCTGTATATTTATGAAAGGCCTGTAATTACTGTTGACTAAAAAGCGACTGGAAAGATGCTTGAAATCCTGATTTTGGGGTATTTGATTACATGCGTTTCTGGTAAGAACATATTTTTTTCACTCCTGACATTTTCTAAACATGAAATGACTGTATATTCTGGACATTAGTCAGCTATGTGTCTTGTTTTATATGCTTTGTACAAAATAATAAAATGCAGGACGACAGGGATCTTTATAAACGTAGCTCTTTATTAACTAGCTATAACTGGCATGTTCATGTGTCTCCGGCCATGATCATCTTTTTAGAGATGACCTCACCACCTGGGTGGTCTTAACCAATCATAGCGCAGTATGCATCCAATTACAATTCAGTATGCTGACACATGAATATTACACTATGCTCACATTCCTGCTCCTAATGCCCTCTCCTCGTCCCTCTCTCTCGATCCTGTCCTGTCCTCTCACTCCTCATTCTCTCCCCCTCCTCCCCTTCTATCCCTCTCTCTTAGGGAAGGGAGGAGCAGACGTGGTGCTGTCCTGTTCTCTGGTGGAGGAGGGTAGTGGGATGGGGGGAATGGGAGGTGGGGCTCTCTTCAGCCGCACCCCAGCCACGCTTGTCCTCAGAGACCTGGCCGTGACCCCTGATCTTTCACCTGATACTCTGACCCCCTTCAACCCTCCCGCTGTCCCTGATCCTGACAACATCATCTTGGAGGCTAAAGGTTAGTTCATCATCAGGTTATCTTTTGTACAATAGAGTTACCTGATGGAATGACCTTCTCCCTCCCCTCACACCATCTCTTTCCTGCACTCCCTCCCTCCCTCCCTCCACCTCTCTGCTCTCTGATAGTTGAGTCTCCTGAGATCCCAGAGGCAGACCTGCTGCTCCATGCTGACTGTAACGAGCAGGAAGTGACATGTGAGATCAGCCGCTACTTCCCCCGTAATGCCAAGGAGGGCTCCACAGAACCAGCCTATTTCATTGGCTCCTTGCAGATAGAGGGGGGCGGGCTCAGCCTCACGGACCAATCAGATCGTCTAGCTCTCATGCAGAGCAAACTGGAACTCCCCCTCAGCCAATCAGGAACTTTGCTGACTGAGGGTGAGACAAGAAGGTTATTATCATACTTCTGGTAGTATGCCTGTTGTAGACTAGACGTGTCATATTGTAATGATGTATAACACTGTTACTCTCTCTCATTCTCTCACCCCTGCCTCTTTTCTCATCACCCCTCTTTCTTTCTCTACTTTTCACTTGCTTCTTTCTCCATAATCCATTCTTTCTCTCTCCCGTCTTCCCCAGTGGTGTTCCTGGTGTTCTCTCGCTCGCAGTCCCATTCCGCTCCTCTAGGGGGCGTGGCCCTCCTGGACTGTGGCTTCAGGCAGCAGGCCCCACCCCCAGGGCAGGAGCTGGGTCTTGAGTGGCGGCTGCAGCACAGAGGAAGTGGGAGGAAAGTGCTCGAGATTAGGGCGGAGCAGACGGAGACAGAGGAGGGGCCAGCAGGTGAGAGAATAAAGGCATTATTTAAGTAGTTATGATGGTGCTATAAGTGTTGGATGAGTTGGGCCTACTTACCATCACAACATAAAGTGCATTAGGACCTCCATGGTCAACATTCCAACTTTATTATCCACCCAGAGACGGAAAATACAAATGTATTATTGCTGTCATAGCTAGGAACCCAGAGGTTTACTGAAGGATTACTTTGAGAATTGGACATAATCTTTCGCCTCGTCATACTGTTTTGGCATTGTTTTTTCCTCCTCAAGTACACGTGGAGAGGGAGGGTTCGAGTGTGGATGCCGCCCTGCTGGTGGGGCAGGGTAATGCGTCTCTGACTCTGGCCAGACTGAAGGTCTCTGACGAGGGGACCTACATCTGCACCGTCAGCACTGGACTGTACCAGGCCCAGCAGGTCATACAGCTACACGTCACACGTAAGTCTCTCTAAGAACCCTTGTGATTGATTGTCTCTTTACATAGGCAGCAGGTAGCCTAGTGGTTAAGAGCATTGGGAGCCGAAAATGTGAAAAATCTGTTGATGTGCCCTTGAGCAAGGCACTTAACCCTAATTGCTCCTGTAAGTTGCTCTGGATAAGAGTGTCTGCTAAATGACTAAAATGTACATAATTTCTCTACACATATGAATATGCGTTTATTACATTAGGTGTCTATGTCATGTGTGACATAGTGTGCACACTATTCACATCTAAATACAAAGTCTCTCTGTCTTTAGAACCTCCTCATGTTTCTCTCTCTGAGGAGAAGCTGGTATTTCGGGATGAGTTGCCCCAGAAACTGAGCTGCCACTGCAAGAACTACTACCCTCTGGATGTCCAGGTGTGTGTCTGGTGCGGTCGACCAATGAAATATCCAGTCATTCATATTCACAGATACCACTGTTTCAAAGTGATTAGCACACAGTGATTAGATGTCTAATACAATCAGAAGGTCATTGGTAGGCCATCATACAGTACTAATAATATGGATATCCTAAATATTACAGACATTATACTGAGACTCTCTTCTCTCTCAGATGGAGTGGTTCTCCGTCTCCTCTACAGACTCAGAGCCTAGCGTCCTATCAGAGCAGGTGTCTCTCTCCAGCCATCGGCAGCACAGTGACAGGACCATGTCCATCTCCTCCCACCTCACCCTGCACCCCTCCGCCTTCCCCCCTGGAACCACGGTCACCTGCAGAGTGACCCACCCAGCCCTGGATACACCCCTCTCCCTCAGCCTGACAGTAGAGCCACCTGAGCCAGGTAGGCTGCTACAGACACAGGCGTGAGAGGACAATCAGAAATTAGGTGCACATCAGCATTGCCATAAGGGTCACGTTCATTAGGTGTGAATGGACAACTAAAATAGAATGAGTGTTCTTATCAGGCAGGTTCAGATACTGCTCCTTTGCTAAATGTTTTCTCCTGTTTGGTGCCTGCTGACTGTGAGTCATTGGGAGAACCTGAGCAGAAACAAAATATTTGTCTTAACTGTTCCCTGTAGATTCCTACTGGATGGTCCTGGGTTTTCTGGTCATCACCGTTCTGTTCTTCTACCAAGTGATGAAATAGGTAAGTTCCCCATGCTTCCTATGGACCTTGTATTTTTAACTATTGTTAGTAGTAAGACAACAGTAGCCTAGAGATGCGAAGCAGAGTTCCAACCTAATTCACAGACTTTCTTCATTCTTGGATTCTTTCAGGGTCGCAGAGACATGGTAATCTGAAGCTGTTGAAAACCAATGTCTTAAGGGTTGCTGTAATGTCAATTACTGTTGTACTATAAACAGTTGTACATTTTCTTCAAATAAATGTTTTCTTTAATAGTATCATTGGTGTTTTTCTCTGAATCTGGAGAGACAGTGTGGTATTATACGTGTTCATTTTCACTCCAATGATAAAGGGGTAGACACACAATAATGTTGATGATTTTCTTTATTAGCATCAAGTGGTAAGCATGCATTTAAAGAATTCTCATGATCCAGTTGTATCTCTCGCAGTATTATCATGTTGTATAATTTCTTTACCTAATAATATTATTGCACAATATTATTAGATCATTGTTTTGAGTAATCACCACTATTTTCATTCATAAATGCAATTTACACATAGCTATTTTTCATATTTTTTACAATGTGTCAAACAATCCCTCTGTATCAACCATTGAGAGGAAAATGATATTTTCTGGAATATCCAACACCAAAAGTAAAATATAAACTAACTAAAAAACACATTTTCAGGAGCAATAGTCTGGTTTATGGTACTACTTGTACGGTACTACGGTTTTCGTTTTTTTCCCGTCAGAATACTACTGTAGCAACCATTGTTCTCTGGTCGAGTATTAGTTATTTTGAAAGCATGTGAACAACAAAAATTTGGCAAACTCTTGAGCTTCATTGCATTGCATACGCATTAGTTATTAATAGGGCACATAGATACAGTTGCCTATACACAGTTCCTGAAAACCACAAAACAAAATAAATGTACAATAGGCAGTTAGTTTCAGAAATGGCAGATACATAGGTCACACAAATAGGCAAAACTATGGACATCGTCTGCCATGCAAGTCAAGTAAGACACAAACACTACTTCCATTGGGCCTATAGGCTGCTGTAGGAAACAGCCTATTGGCTACTTTAGGAAACAGCCTATTGGCTACTGTAGGAAACAGCCTATTGGCTACTGTAGGAAACAGCCTATTGTAGGAATTGGCCTATTGTAGGTAACAGCATATAGGCTACTGTAGGTAACAGTGTGTGTGTTTTTGTTGGTTTGATGGGCAGGAAGTGGGTTATTTGGGGGGTTATTTGGTTATGTCCACTCTCCAGATAGGGGAACAGTCTATTGAACCATTCCTCCCTAACCCTGTACCCTCTCTACTAGAACGTACAAGAGTGTCTGAACACAACCACAACACAGTAAAGCTGCTCACTAATCAATCAAAAATGTACTATGCAGTGTTATTACACACTGACCTGCCTATAGGTGTGTCGAGAGTTAATACTGTATAGACCTTTGTCTGCACTCCTGAAAGAATACTCTATTTATGTAGGTACAGATTGTCTGTTTGTGTTTGTCTGTCAATGTCAATCTAGCTAACTGTCCGTCTGTCTGTGGTACAAGAATAAAGATATACTAAAAGTCAGTGTCCCAAAACGTCATTTCTGCCTTTTCCAGTATCCTTCCTGGCTTTTCTTATTCTCTCTCTCTCTCTCTCTCTCTCTTAAACACCACAGTCAGTGAGTGAGAGAAAGAGGGGGGGAAAGGAAAGGAAAAGGCCAGTCAAGGCCTATATCAACTAAACCTGGAAAAAGCTACTGGCTACACTGATTTGGATCACAAGTACACACACACACACACACACAACAAAATGATCATAATCTTAACCATGACCTTGTATTAGTAAGTTGTAGTAATAATGGTAGTGGTAGGAGGTAGGGGATCAGGAGGGGTTGATAGGTACTGTATGTAAGTATGAATTTACAAATGTAGTACGCTCTCCAAAAGGTAACACGGACAAGCTTTGGCGTATCTGGGATAGAAAGAACTGCTTCTCTGCTGTTCTCTCTCCTTGCACTCACTCTCTCTCTCTTTCACTTCTTCCTGCTCTCTCTCTCTCTCTCTCTCTCTCTCTCTCTCGCTCTCTCTCTCTCTCGCTCTCTTTCTCTCTCTCTCTCTCTCGCACACTTCAATAATGTATGAGATGCAGAGGCAGGAGAGTGAGTGAGACAGCACGCCAAAACAGAGGAAGAAAGATGGATCAAGAAGAAGGGAAGGGCAGGAGGACAAAGAGAAAAGAGAGCAATGACATCTACACACTACCGTCATGTTTAAGTGCTAGATGGAAGACCTGGTGTGGAGAGATGAAAGGGGGTAGGACTGGAGTTTGGATTTGTATAGATTTTGTTTTCTTCTTCCCTCTCATATTTCGCTCTCATGTCTGTGTCCTTCTGCCACGCTGGGATAACTCAATAGAAGAAGTACACTATGAGAAAGAGGGAGGGGGAGAGAAAGAGAGGAGAAGAGAGAGAGAGAGAGAGAGGGGGGAGATAGAGAGAGGGGGAGAGAAAGAGAGGGAGATATAGAAAGGGTGAGGGAGAGGGGGAAGAGAGGGGTGGAGAGAGGGGATAGAGAGAGGGGGGAGAGAGAGAGGGGGAGAGCGAGGAGGGGAGAGAGAAATGAGAAAGAGAGGGAGATTAGAGAGAGGGGGAGAGAAAAGAGGGAGATATAAAAAGGGGGAGAGAGGGGGAGAGAGAGGGATAGAGAGAGGGGGAGAGGGAGGGGGAGAGAGGGATAGAGAGGAGGGGGACGAGAGAGGGGGGAGAGGAGAAAGAGAGGGAGAGAGAGAGAGAGGGGGGGGAGATAGAGAGAGGGGGAGAGAAAGAGAGGGAGATATAGAAAGGGGGAGAGAGAGGGGGAGAGAGGGATAGAGAGAGGGGGAGAGAGAGAGGGGGAGAGAAAGAGAGGGAGATAGAGAGAGGGGGAGAGAAAGAGAGGGAGATATAGAAAGGGGGAGAGAGGGAGAGAAAGATAGGGAGATAGAGAGGGGGAGAGAAAGAGAGGGAGATATAGAAAGGGGGAGAGAGGGGGGATAGAGGGAGGGAGGGGGAGAGAGAGATAGGGAGAAAGAGTTAGGGAGAGATCATTAAATAATTGGATCAGCAGATGTATGGGTTTCTAAATCACAAACTGAAGATACATCTAACAATGTGTGAAACAGCTAAATAATTATATTTGCATTCAGTGGGCTACATCTACATATTTGTTTCTACTGAATGACTGGTAACAGAGGCCTTATACTGTATAAATAATTTACTTTAATAAGTTGTCATGAATTATTGACATAGAGTAGGCACTAGGAGACAGTCAGGGCAGGGCAGACCTGGGCCTGTTGTAAGTGCACACTGATTATAGCTGTGGCCTTCACCTTAACATCTACTGCACTTGACTAGTATGGATGCAGAATCGCATTAGTGGAAACCAAGACTGTTCTCAGGGCAGGCCTGGTTGTAGCTAGATATTGTTAGCATTTTAGCTGTCCCTAACCCTTTTCCTAACCTTAACCTAATTCTCCTAACCTGCCACGTTAATTCTCCTAACATGCTACGAAAAGTCACTTCTACTAGTCAAAACCGGCAGACCTGCCCTGAGATCAGTGTGAGTATCCGCTAATGCGATACAGAAGTATGGACATTCATTTAGTCATCTGCACAATAATTAATATGCCAAGAAATTTCCAAATTAAGTTTAAAAGTCTAACTGACTACATGCAGGTGGGTATCAATTAATAGTAATAGGAGAAAGTGAATAATGGTACTTACAGAAAAGGACTCCGACCACAAGAACTCCAATGATACCCATAATGATCATCATCTAAAAAGAAAGGAAATGGAGAGTTAAGGAGTTTATTAATTATTATATTCTTATAGTTAATAAACCAGATCGATTTTCCTCAGGATGATGAAACATTTGTTTTTTATTCAGGGGTGAAGTCGCTGTGGATTAACGTTAGTCCTGCTGACCAAAAACACACACACACACACACCAACCCAGCACAATGATGACAAACAGAAAGCAGAGCGTAACATTTCATCACACTCCCTTGTGTCCAGTCAGTGTATTTCTGGTGCTATTGTTATGCAATTCCTAGGAATAACTGCATGCTATTCAGTAGAGAAAACTCTGCAGTGAGAGCCTCCCTATTTCCCCATTTCCTGGAGCATTGCTCCACTCGCCCACAGACGCTAATTAGGGGATTAGTACGCGGGAAAGGGGACAGCATTCCCGGGACAGACGCTGTGTGTCTGCCTCAGCGCCCTGCACCTCCATGGCTCAGTTGTTTGGTGGAGCATGGTACTGGTTGGTGGAGCATGGTACTGGTTGGTGGACCATGGTACTGGTTGGTGGAGCATGGTACTGGTTGGTGGAGCATGGTACTGGTTGGTGGAGTGTGGTACTGGTTAGTGGAGCATGGTACTGGTTGGTGGAGCATGGTACTGGTTGGTGGAGCATGGTACTGGTTGGTGGAGCATGGTACTGGTTGGTGGAGCGTGGTACTGGTAGGTGGAGCGTGGTACTGGTAGGTGGAGCGTGGTACTGGTTGGTGGAGCATGGTACTGGTAGGTGGAGCGTGGTACTGGTTGGTGGAGCGTGGTACTGGTTGGTGGAGCGTGGTACTGGTTAGTGGAGCGTGGTACTGGCGTCGCAACACCACCACCGTTGTGGCTCTGAATTATTCCCCCATGGGCCACCTACAGTCAACTGAATATATATGCTAACTTGAATATATGACAGTAAACTGTCGCTTTGGATAGAAAGAGTTGGCTAAATAACCGTATTATAATCATTATCAATACCTTGCAGTTCTCCTGAATATGTTAACTTTAAGTGCTTTTGGATGAAAGTGTCTGCTAATGTGAATGATGATATTTACATTTACATTTTAGTCATTTAGCAGACGCTCTTATCCAGAGCGACTTACAGGAGCAATTAGGGTTAAGTGCCTTGCTCAAGGGCACATCGACAGATTTTTCACCTAGTCGGCTCGGGGATTAGAACCAGCGACCTTTCGGTTACTGGCACAACGCTCTTAACCACTAAGCTACCTGCCGCCCCAATGATATCATCATTGATCACTGTCATTACCTTTGCGTTTTTCCACCAGTATTTGCTCTTGAGTTTGGCTGCACAGCTCTCGAACTGGGAGGCCCCGGCCTGGAGAGCATCCGCTCTGTCATCCAGCTCCGACAGCTTCTGGTCCCTCTCCAGAACCTTGTCCACATTCACCCGCATAATATCCACCACCTGGAGAGGAGAGGGGGAGGTGGAGAGAGGAGAGGGGGCAGAGAGGAGAGAGGAAGGTAGGAGAGGAGAGGAGAGAGAGAGAGAGAGAGAGAGAGAGAGAGAAGAGAGAGAGAGAGAGAGAGAGAGAGAGAGAGAGAGAGAGAGAGAGAGAGGAGGAGAGAGAGAGAGAGAGAGAGAGAGAGAGAGAGAGAGAGAGAGAGAGAGGAGAGAGAGAGAGAGAGGAGGGAGAGAAAAGGAGGAGAGAAATAGAGGAGAGGAGGAGGAGAGGAGAGAGAAAAGAGGAAAAGAGAAGAGACAGGGATTGGATGGTTCTTTGAATTGACTGACAGCCTGAGCTATAGAAGCCCACATCACACAATTTAATACAGCATGAAACCATTCACAAGCTGCAGTGCAGTCCATTACTAAGATATATTGATCAACCATGTTATTTTCTTTATGTTAATAGCTAATATAACTTTGGCCATAGAAATAGAATGTATAAAACATCATCATAGACAGCCATGTTGTATCATATGCTAGCCAAATTGTTATCGTGGGTATTGTATTTTGGAATACTTGTTACAACATTTCTCAGTGCTTCATTCATTATGCACACACTAAAAACACACAGCAATAAAATGACAAATTCATGTTGTCAGGTTGATGGAATATCATGTTGATCCCAGAAAGCCACACCCTGACGAAGGCTGCACAGCCAAAACATTACTGAAATAAATGGTCAAACAAATCAAACTGCAATGTAGAGTATGCTACTCTATTTTTATATTTCCCAACAATCAAAGAACGGCACAAAGAAGCAATCTTTGTCCTTTCCTTTTCCATCAGCTCTGTTTCTATGGCTTGACTCATGGGACGCATTTCATTCCAGAAGGTTTACTTTACTTCTGCCCTCATTCCCTCCCTTTTTCATTGAATTGGATAAATGAAAGCAAAATGGGGGAAACTAGGTGGCGCTATTGCTTACACCAAGTAGTGAACAAGTGCAGAGCGGAGGGAGCAACTGGAAATTCAGCCCAGATCTGGCCTAATTGCTGCTAGTTGTCTCACGCTGTGACGTCAATCCCAGATTGACAAGCTAGCTACTTGCTGTAGTCTAAAATGTTGTACTGTATGGTTTGGGACGAGTGGGAGTACTGTTAGGAGCATGGTATCGATGCCCAGAGCAGGTTGGTTGGTACTGTACGTGCATGTCACACTACATCACCTCCTCCACTTGTGCCTGTGTCTGTTGTAGCCTCCGGTTGCTGGAGGTGTTGGGAGGAGGGGGTGGGGGCCCTCCACCTGGGGCTCCGTCTGCTCCTGGGGCCCCTGGGGCTCCGGGAGGTCCAGCTGGGGGAGCAGCATCTGGGGCAGACCTGGGAAGGGGAGAGAGAGAGGAAGGGATGGATGGAGAGGAGAAGAGATGGGAGGGCGAGGGGTAGGAGAGGGGGAAGGAGGGAGACAGGAAGAGGGAGATGAGGAAGGGTAAGAAAAATAAATGGGGGAGATGAGAGGGGAGAGGAAGAGAAGAGAAGGATGTGAGAGAGAGGGGGAAGGGGAGGAGGAGGACATTTAACATTTCACTAATTTAGCAGTCGTGACTTAAGTGCATTCAGGCTGAAACAACTGCATTTTACAAGTGTTGTAAGTAAAAGTGTTTTCAAAAAACAGTACTCAGTGATCAAAGAGATTCAGATTAAAATTTCAAAAACACAGCAGGACAAGTATAATGAGGGGAGGAGGAGTAGGAGAAAAGGGATAAAGTCAGAGTTGTACCTGAGAGAGAGAGAGAGAGAGAGAGAGAGAGAGAGAGAGAGAGAGAGAGAGAGAGAGAGAGAGAGAGAGAGAGAGAGAGAGAGAGAGAGACAGAGACAGAGACAGAGACAGAGACAGAGAGAGAGAGAGAGGAAGAAGATGAGGATAATGAGAAAGGGAATAAGAGGAGAGAATAGAGAGAAAAGGAAGAAGGGTTAAAAGAGATGGGGCAAACAACCAATTTGGTTCAGAGAAGGATAAGGAGAGGGAAAAAGGGGAGGAGTGAGAGGGGGAGCATTCTAACACAGACAGCCTCCATGGACTCCTCTGGGGGTGTTGGTCCTGAATCAGACTATTGAAATTAGCCAAATATACAGTACAGGCAATGCCATTCCATCCACCATATATATATATATATATATGAAGAATATAGCCATCATTTGAAAGGCATGAACTTGTTCTATACTGCAGGTGCAGGACAATCTCATCCCAGATGTCATGCGTAGTACCCTACTGTATTTCCTACTGTAACAGGAGAGGAAAACAAACATCCTGCACAGTCTTAGCCTCAGCTCAGACCAATCAGTTCACATTGATATTGATTTTCTAATACTTCACAGACATTTGATAACCTGGAATTCCCTAGAACCATATGGTATAAAGAAAAAAAAACATAATTTCAGCTGAAATATGACAATTATTAATTAAATTCATCAAGAAAAAAATGAATTTCTTTTGAAACCCAGTAGAGGACTGAGGGTAATCAACTAAAGTAGACGAGATCCATTATTCAGAGCTGCTGTGACGGGAAAAGGACTTGCGTCAGCAAAATAAATAAAGCTAGAACAAATCAATAGAGCAAAGAAAGAGCCTAACAACGTGATTTAAATACTCAACATATTAGAAGATATCATGTTTAGGGAATAGAAAAAATGAATAGAATAAGTAAAAAATAGGAAACCCTGCATTGATACTCACATCTTCTATGCAGCTGCTTGGAACTGACTCACTGTCAGTGAGCGGTGGGGGGTGGGGGGGGGGGGGGGGGGGGGGGGGGGGAGAGAGAGCGAGAGAGAGAGAGCGAGCGAGAGACGAAGGGGGGAAGGGTCTGAAGTAAAAAAAAAAGAAGAAGCGAAATCACAAAAAAGCTATGGGAAAAATTTCTCCTGTCGTCCAAAGATGTCCAGAACCTCAGAGACTCGACTGATTAAATTGATGCGTTAATAACAAACGGATGCAGAGGCTGGTGCAGTAATCTCAAAGCGATGCTTTTGCACCGCAAGTCATCCCCAAAGTACCGCAATACCCAGGCAAGCGTCGGGTAATAATTCACTCGAAGAACGAATACACAGATTCTCAATTTCAAAGGAAAAATCAGTTTGTAAAATCCATAAGAGATAAATCCAAGGCTGCTTGGCGAATTTCTTTAAATAATAAATCTATGCAAGAGAAGTCGTGATATTCCAAAGATGCTGAGTCGAGATGCTCAAAATCAAGCACGTTCCCCTTCAAAAGCTAAACACAACTGATTTCATGTTCCTTTAGATTACCCAATTATATACTTTCACTATTTTCCCGTGGTCGAATTTTAGAATGATCTAACACCACCGTGGTTCCCCCTCTCCCGGCGAGTGTGTGGAAGCGAATCGGTGTGTATCGGTTTGTGGGTTAGTGCGGTAGTTTCGTTAGTGTGTGTGTGTGTTTGTGTGATGGCACTATACTGCAATAATGCGTCGCTCCCGTTCTCCTCTCTCTCCAGTTGGACTCATAACGATGGTGCGGTACCTCTTTCCCAGCCCCCTCCCTCCTCTCTCTTGCGCTCCCCTCTCTCTCTCCACACTTTGCAGTACTGCAGATTTCTCTGTGTGTCGGATAGCGCGGCAGGACGACACTGCGGTACATTGCTTGGTACAGAATGTTGACTCGGCTATACCCCCTCGGTTTGTAAGTGCTCCCTACTCTACCGGGTCGACTAGGCTTCACTAACACCAAGTTATAGACTACCCTCTCCATATTATAATAGCTATCTGGCCCAATGTTTGATTTATTCCAGTTTCATCATGACCACAACTCGGTTATTCCTCTTTAGTCCATGAATACAAAAACGAGAGGGGAGGCAGTGCGAACATTATTGCACAGCAGTGAGCTGTGGTATGGAGCAATATAGCCCCATTGGTTGCATTGAAAACGTGCTAGCCAGGCCGTGGGTCAATTTAATATGGAGGGCTTAGTCAAATATAATTTTTGGTCAACTGATTGATTATTGAACACTTTATTCTGAGACAGAAAAAATGTATAACTTTCTCAATTACTGCTATAGGCACATTCACATGAATCAACAATTTAGGACAAAATGACTAACTACCTTAAGGTCAAATACTAATGCAGCCTTACAATAAACTCACTCAAATGTAATGACAAGCTTCTGTTTATTGTCATCTCACACAACACATGGTACACCCACAACATGACTTACATTAGTCCCCAAAGTGATCATATTTACAGACCACAGAGCATCAAACATTTGTGTATATTTCAACTTCTAAGAGTTCATATTGGTTCCAAACATGTATTTTACAGTTATTCGTGTTGATTTAGTGCTAACAACAATACTAAATGAATCCAACATTTTTCAGCTGTCTTTGATTTTTTTTTTTATGTGCAATCAACTTCCCATTACCCCAATATGGATATAAGAAAAGGTATGATTAACAAATGGTGAAAATGAGGGGATAATATACATCTAAGTGGCACAACTGAGTAGCGCACGTTTCTCCCTTTAGAGTCTGTATATGGTCCAGTGGGCGGTTTGTTAGTACAGTAGTAGTTTAGCATTGTTAGCCAGACCGCTCAGTCCCAGATCAGATCAGCGATGTTTCCCAAAGCGGTTGAAGTGTCGGTAGAGGAAGCGGATCCTCTTCTCCATGTCGTGTTTGTCCTGCGTCATCATCCTGTCTCCCACCATCCTTTTCTTCCTCGTCAGACGCTGCAGCTCATTGCCACGGAAACCCTTCACCCAGACCGGCCCGACGATCAGGTCCTTAGGGTGGGCTTTAAAGTCACCTACAAACAACGCGTTAGATGTAAGGCCTGTTATAGCAGTGTGTGTGTGTGTGTCTGCGTAGTTCGACACGTATCAAACATTTTATTTAACTAGGCAAGTCGCTGGGCCAATTGTGCGCCGCCCTATGGGATTCCCAATCACGGCCGGGTTGTGATCCAGCCTGGAATCGAACCGGGGTCTGTAGTGACGCCTCTAGCATTCAGATACAGTGCCTTAGACCGCTGCGCCACTCAGACCCCGGTTCGATTCCAGGCTCCTGAGTGGCGCAGTGGTCTAAGGCACTGCATCGCAGTGCTAACTGTGCCACTAGAGATCCTGGTTCGAATCCAGGCTCTGTCGCAGCCGGCCGCGACCGGGAGACTCATGGGCGGCGCACGATTGGCCCAGCGTCGTCCAGGGTAGGGGAGGGAATGGCCGGCAGGGATGTAGCTCAGTTGATAGAGCATGGCGTTTGCAACGCCAGGGTTGTGGGTTTGATTCCCACGGAGGGCCAGTATAAAAAAAAATATATATATATGTGTTCACTAACTGTATGTCGCTCTGGATAAGAGCGTCTGCTAAATGACTAAAATGTAAAATGTAAATATTGGTGAACAGTGCCATGGTGCTGAAATGGGTCAAACTCCATAGAAACTGAACAGCACTTGTGGACAGCTGCATGTTGCTGAAACTGAAATTGTTTTAGCCTCGTAGAATGGGCAGTAGTTGTGGACAGTGCCATGGTGCTGAAATGGTTTGAGCCCCCCTAGAGACTGGGCAGCACTTGTGGACAGTGCCATGGTGCTGAAATTGGTTTAATACCAAAAAGACTGCACTGTACCATTTTGTATCAAATTACATTTTTAGCAGGGGGCAAAAGTAAAATATTTTCAGCATGTGTCTATTTTCATATCTACCTGGTAACCAAGAGTAGATTTTAAGTTAGTTCAGAGGACAGTGTCATGTTGCTGAAATGGTCCCATAGAGACTGGGCAGCATTTTCATAAAGATATGAAAGTCATGACATCAGGTCAAATGAGCTATGATTTGAAGCTGATAACTTCCCAATTACCTAAAATTCCTATGTTGTCATAAACCCCAAACATGCTCCTCTTCTCAGTCCACCTGTCCACCTTCTTCAGCTCAGGAATGGCATTCATACGGACTGGACAGCACACACCTGAAACACACACATTTTGATTTCATTAGCTGGGCTACTTCCAGTACCAATAGACTGTTAAATTGACAAGAAGAACTATAATAACGACTATTGGAAACTGCTTAGCTACAGTATAAACAACGATTGTTTGACACCTAATGTATCAGTGTCCTGTTTGTAGTACACACATTAAAACAGATAGCCTTGGTACGACATATCAAATTCACAGGGCCCTGGTTGGAAAATTGTGAGAACGCAAAATAGTCCTATCATTATGACATCTACAGCAGCTACAAAACATTGCATCTGAATTGCAATGTATTATACACCTACCAGTGCTTATTTGTCTGGTTGTTTGTAGTGTGGAGTGGTAAAGAGACACCCCAGCCTTCAGCAACCCTCTCAACAGAGACATGGCTCACCTGAAATACACAGAGGTCGTCAATCATTATGGAACAGTAAAATTGCTAGCTAAAACTTACTAACGTTAGCTAACTAAATAAGAACATGTACAGTACAGCGCACACACAGCTACACGACCAACATATTGCTACAGCCTAGTAACTTTACCTAGCTACTAGTGTAATATTTTGTACAACGTTTGCAAAAACAAGAGAGGTGAAGCTAGAATAAAATGCTGTTCCTCTTTGCCTACAAGTTGACCTAGCTAAGCTAGCCTAGCCAGCTAGCGTAGCAAACAGGCAATACTGTTTACCTGAAGCGTTGCACGTCTTTATGACCTTGTATTCGTCAAGCTAATATAATAATACAATTAAATACAAAACAAAGGGACGCATTTGTAGCTGTTCATTAACTATAGACACATCGAAATTCACTTTTTAAAGCTTTGACTTTAATGTATTAACTCATGCATGCCATACGGGCACCTCCATTTCACTATTATTCCCAAGATGCAACGCGCATTTACCGTAAAACTCCTAAACATCCCCATCACAATTATCTGTTCATAGGGCTCTCCTTTTGTGTAGGCCTACAAACTGAACTACTGTAGACTACATTTTATCCACTAGGTGGATACATTCACTTCATACATTTTTCCCCACCACATACGCATAAACACTATTAAGACACGCTCACACGCTGTGTTGGTTTCAGTATTACTATAACAAAAACAGCTGAATGGAATAAGGCGTCTGTTTCAAAGAAGCAAGCGCAGTAGAAATTAATTCGGTCTAATTTTCAGTTCTGCTTTGACGTCAGTGTCCTTCGGCGTGAAATAAAAATGAAAAACACATAGTACTAAAAATATAACATTCCATTGATGGCCCTACACCTATATTGACTTCTGATACTCATGCATGCCCAAATGTTATGATAATATTGCAGGGTACTGTATGTTTTGGAAAATCTACGGGCCAGGTTTACAAAGCAGTGCAATGTATAGGAAATACCATTTTGGAACGTTTATATGAATAATGTCTCATGTTATATGCCAGAGGAGATAGCCTATCAATAATAACGTGTGATATGAATGATTATTGTGGATAGGTAAGAAATGTTTAGTTTTTTTTAAACATGCATTAAAAAAACACCAAAACCAAGTATTTAAAAACCAAAACATTCAAACTCTAAACAGTTTGAGAGAAGAATAGCTGCATTTATTGAGACTTTACAGCCTGGTGTATCATTGTTCCACATATCTGGCTTTTTTGAATTATTATCTGCACACACAGTGTACTGTAGATACCTGAAGACCTTCAGGTTCAATGTCTGGATTAAAAATCAGCTGAACAGACAGAAAAATCTCTTATACAGTGCCTTCAGAAAGTATTCACACCCCTACATTGTGTTACAGCCTGAATTTAAATATTTTTTGTAACTAAAAAATCACATTTACATAAGTATTCAGACCTTTTACTCAGTACTTTGTTGAAGCACCTTTGGCAGCGATTACAGCCTCGAGTATTCTTTGTTATGATGCTACAAGCTTGGCACACCTGTATTTGGGGAGTTTCTCCCATTCTTCTCTGCAGATCTTCTCAAGCTCTGTCAGGTTGGATGGGGAGCGTTGCTGCACAGCTATTTTCAGGTCTCTCCAGAGATGTTCAATCGGGTTCAAGTCCGGGCTCTGGCTGGGCCACTCAAGGACATTCAGAGACTTGTCCCAAAGCCACTCTTGCATTGTCTTGGCTGTGTGCTTAGAGTCGTTGTCCTGTTGGAAGGTGAACCTTCGCCCCAGTCTGAGGTCCTGAGCGCTCTGGAGCAGGTTTTCATCAAGGATCTCTCTGTACTTTGCTCTGTTCATCTTTCCCTCAATCCTGACTAGTCTCCCAGTCCCTGCCGCTGAAAAACATCCCCACAGCATGATGCTGCCCCCACCATGCTTCACTGTAGGGATGGTGCCAGGTTTCCTCCAGACGTGACGCTTGGCATTCAGGCCAAAGAGTTTAATCTTGGTTTCATCAGACCAGAGAATCTTGTTTCTCATGGTCTGAGAGTCCTTTAGGTGCCTTTTGGGCTGTCATGTGCCTTTTACTGAGGAGTGGCTTCCGTCTGGCAACTACCATAAAGGCCTGATTGATGGAGTGCTGCAGAGATGGTTGTCCTTCTGGGAGGTTCTCCCATCTCCACAGAGGAACTCTGGAGCTCTGTCAGAGTGACCATCGGGTTCTTGGTCACCTCCCTGACCAAGGCCCTTCTCCCCCGATTGCTCAGTTTGGCCAGGCAGCCAGCTCTAGGAGTCTAAGAGAAGGGAAGAGTCTTGGTGGTTCCAAACTTCTTCCCTTAAAGAATGGTGGAGTTTTTGCTCTGACATGCACTGTCAATTGTGGGACCTTATATAGACAGGTGTGTGACTTTCCAAATCATGTCCAATCAATTGAATTTACCACAGGTGGACTCCAATCAAGTTGTATAAACATCTCAAGGATGATCAATGGAAACAGGATGCACCTGAGCTCAATTTCAAGTCTCATAGCAAAGGGTCTGAATACTTATGTAAATAAGGTATTTCTGTTTTTTATATTTAATACATATGCAAACATTTCTAAAAAACTGTTTTCGCTTTGTCATTAAGGGGTATTGTGTGTAGATTGATGAGGGAAAACAATTATTTAATCAATTTTAGAATAAGCCTGTAACGTAACAAAATGTGGAAAGAGTCAAGGGGTCTGAATAGTGTCCCCAGTATCTATGCTGCAATAGTCTATGTGCCGGGGGCTAAGGTTAGTCTGTTGTATCTGGTGTAATTCTCCTGTTTTATCTGGTGTCCTGTGTGAATTTAAGTGTGCTCCCTCTAATTCTCCCTCTCTCCCATCCCGGAGGATCTGAGCCCTAGGACCATGCCTCAGGACTACCTGGCCTGATGACTCCTTGCTGTCCCCAGTCCACCTGGTCGTGCTGCTGCTCCAGTTTCAACTGTTCTGCCTGCGGCTATGGAACCATGACCTGTTCACCGGACGTGCTACCTCTCTCGCTCTACCACACTTGCTGTCTCGACCTCTGAATGACCCTGCTGGTCATCTATGCACGTTTGAACATCTTGAAGAACAATCTGGCCTTAATGGACATGTACTATCTTCACCCGGCACAGCCAGAAGGGGACTGGCCACCCCTCAGAACCTGGTTCCTCTCTAGGTTTCTTCCTAGGTTCCTGCCTTTCTAGGGAGTTTTTCCTAGCCACCATGCTTCTACATCTGCATTGCTTGCTGTTTGGGGTTTTAGGCTGGGTTTTCTGTTTGTGACATCTGCTGATGTAAAAAGGGCTTTATAAATACATTTGATTTATTGATTAAAGTGTTTACATGACTATTGCCATACTCGGCCTACTTATATAATTAGTTTAATATCAAATTATTAGTGTGCATGTAAATATACTCAATGATCAACAAACAATTTGACAGAGCTTGAAGAATTTTGAAAAGAATAGTGGGGCAAATGTTGCACAATCCAGGTGTGGAAAACTCTTAGAGACTTACCAAGGAAGTAATCGCTGCCAAAGCTGATTCTAACATGTCTTGACTCAGGGTGTTGAATACTTACAGTGGGTGAAAAAAGTATTTAGTCAGCCACCAATTGTGCAAGTTCTCCCACTTAAAAAGATGAGAGAGGCCTGTAATTTTCATCATAGGTACACGTCAACTATGACAGACAAAATGAGAAAAGAAAATCCAGAAATTCACATTGTAGGATTTCTAATGAATTTATTTGCAAATTATGGTGGAAAATAAGTATTTGGTCAATAACAAAAGTTTCTCAATACTTTGTTATATACCCTTTGTTGGCAATGACACAGGTCAAACGTTTTCTGTAAGTCTTCACAAGGTTTTCACACACTGTTGCTGGTATTTTGGCCCATTCCTCCATGCAGATCTCCTCTAGAGCAGTGATGTTTTGGGGCTGTCGCTGGGCAACACAGACTTTCAACTCCCTCCAAAGATTTTCTATGGGGTTGAGATCTGGAGACTGGCTAGGCCACTCCAGGACCTTGAAATGCTTCTTACGAAGCCTCTCCTTCGTTGCCCGGGCGGTGTGTTTGGGATCATTGTCATGCTGAAAGACCCAGCCACGTTTCATCTTCAATGCCCTTGCTGATGGAAGGAGGTTTTCGCTCAAAATCTCACGATACATGGCCCCATTCATTCTTTCCTTTACACGGATCAGTCATCCTGGTCCCTTTGCAGAAAAACAGCCCCAAAGCATGATGTTTCCACCCCCATGCTTCACAGTAGGTATGGTGTTCTTTGGATGCAACTCAGCATTCTTTGTCCTCCAAACACGACGAGTTGAGTTTTTACCAAAAAGTTCTATTTTGGTTTCATCTGACCATATGACATCCTCCCAATCCTCTTCTGGATCATCCAAATGCACTCTAGCAAACTTCAGACGGGCGTGGACATGTACTGGCTTAAGCAGGGGGACACGTCTTTCACTGCAGGATTTGAGTCCCTGGCGGCGTAGTGTGTTACTGATGGTAGGCTTTGTTACTTTGGTCCCAGCTCTCTGCAGGTCATTCACTAGGTCCCCCCGTGTGGTTCTGGGATTTTTGCTCACCGTTCTTGTGATCATTTTGACCCCACGGGGTGAGATCTTGCGTGGAGCCCCAGATCGATGGGAGATTATCAGTGGTCTTGTATGTCTTCCATTTCCTAATAATTGCTCCTACATTTGATTTCTTCAAACCAAGCTGCTTACCTATTGCAGATTCAGTCTTCCCAGCCTGGTGCAGGTCTACAATTTTGTTTCTGGTGTCCTTTGACAGCTCTTTGGTCTTGGCCATAGTGGAGTTTGGAGTGTGACTGTTTGAGGTTGTGGACAGGTGTCTTTTATACTGATAACAAGTTCAAACAGGTGCCATTAATACAGGTAACGAGTGGAGGACAGAGGAGCCTCTTAAAGAAGAAGTTACAGGTCTGTGAGAGCCAGAAATCTTGCTTGTTTGTAGGTGACCAAATACTTATTTTCCACCATCATTTGCAAATAAATTCATTAAAAATCCTACAATGTGATTTTCTGGAGAAAAAAAATCTCAATTTGTCTGTCATAGTTGACGTGTACCTATGATGAAAATTACAGGCCTCTCTCATCTTTTTAAGTGGGAGAACTTGCACAATTGGTGGCTGACTAAACACTTTTTTCCCCCACTGTATCTAATCAAGATATACTGCATGAGTGTTTTTTTTATTGTTATTTTTTTTACAAATGTTAGAATTTTTCTTCCACTTTGACATTAGAGTATTTTTGGTAGATCGTTGACAAAAAATTACAATTAAATATATTTTAACCCCACTTCGTAACACAACAAAATGTGGAAAAAATCAAGGGGTGTGATACTTTCTGAAGGCACTGTAACATCCTTTTAGCAGACAGAATCTAGCTTATCTCATCACTCATCCGCCTCCTCTCAGCTGCCAGTAAAATGCTGGCCACATCAGCCTACTGATATGGCCAGACTTGGTTCAAATGTCTTCTTTTTCATTTTTCTGTATTTATTTGTCTGTATACATGTATATTATTTACTGCTCTAGGGATATAATTATTGTTTGGATAACCTTATTTACTATTATGTATTGATTGATTTTTTCGCTTTATGCGATGTGCACTGCAGAGAACACCAGAAGAATAATTATCACTGAATTATCACAGTGAATTATTGCAATGTTTGTTTATGTGTCAATTAATCCCATAAGGGATGGGTTGCCAACTGGCAATTTGACACAAAAATAAAATGTCATTAATTGATTAATTGCAATTTCATTCAGTGGTGTACTGTCAACTGAAGTGAAGTGTATTGAAATATTTCACAGCTCAAAGTTTGATTTGTTTTATTTGAAGTATACCTATATGAGCACAGTTTAAATCGACCAACCACAAAATGCTAATTCAAATACAAATTCAACATCAAAATGCTATCCACAATTAAGAATGATTTGAACTTTAATTCCTATAGTTTTGTAACATTAGTGTGCTGGAATGAGGGAGAGATTGAGTGATTTAACATGATGAGAGAGAGGGACAGGAACAAATGAGTTATCCTGTTGAAAAGTTTTTACTGAAGATATCTAGTTTAAATATTTTCCGACTTCAGGCTGATTTGCATAGGTGTTTTTCGTCCTCATTGTCATCTATTGTTTCCATGTGAGGGGCATCTGTCTGTCTAAGACTTTCCCTCATCACTGCCTAACTGTGTATTTAAATACAGTATGTACATTTAAAGATCAGCATGAGGAAAGACCACCTCACAAATCTGATTCACAGATCCCGAAAGCCAGTGAGAAAGAGAGGAGGGAGTGGGGGTTGTGGTTCCAATGTACTGACTGAGCCACCAAATGTGGGCCAAAAACACACAGCCTGTGATTTCAACAGGTTTACATTTCAATGTTTTGAGGTTTTGAAGGGAGTAGTGGGGGAGGGGGTTGATAGATGAGATAAAAATATTAAAAGATGTATCCAGCACAGAGATATTCACTGCTGTCTGAACCAGGGGAAAATATGGCTGCTACAAGAACACAATAACATTTTGATCTGTCTGTCTGTCTGTCTGTCTGTCTGTCTGTCTGTCTGTCTGTCTGTCTGTCTGTCATCTATCTGTCTGTCTGTCTGTCTGTCTGTCTGTCTGTCTGTCTGTCTGTCTATCTATCTATCTGTCTGTCTATCTATCTGTCTGTCGGTCTGTCTGAAACTATAGAGCAGTAAAGGTGGTATGATGGGAACCTGATGCTATAAACTCAAATATTGTCCCTAAGCTTCAGAATAGCCCTGTATGACTGAGGCAGAGAGCGAGAAAGAGAGAGACGTAAAGGGAGATGGAAGTCACTATCATCATCATCATGTATTCTCTATCAAAACAATGCCAACCACCATTCAATTACTTGCATTACTGGAACTGGCCCTGTCCTCCCATGTATGTTGATGAGCTGGTAACTTACAGCAGTGAGAACTGTATGTTGATCAGTATGGAAGGATACGGTGGTTAGATTGTGCACACTTTCGGCAACCCTGTGCTTCCTGTAAGTTACACTGAGAATAAATACAATATATACACTAAATGCAGGGTTAAAATGCAGGGGTATCTCTGTCAATAGATATATAAATACTGTGTATTACATACAATACTGTATGTTTCTGATGATGTGATGTATGTTTTGTAATACAATGTTTTTTATACCACTCTGAACCAGTAAGGTAATTATAGGTAGAGTAACAGATCAAATTAAACTTTGCAGAACTTGAGCAGAGAGAGAGAGGGGGGGAGAGAGAGAAGAGAGAGAGAGGGGGGGAGCGAGAGAAGGGAGAGAGAGAGAGAAAGAGAGAGAGAGGGGGGAGGGAGAGAGAGAGGGGGGGAGAGGGAGAGAGAGAGCGAGAGTCAGGGGGAGGGAGAGAGAGAATCCGTGGGAGGGAGCATGTAGGCTTCCCTGTTTGTGTGGCTGTCTGACAGTTTCCATGTTGCGTCAGTGAGACTGACACAAACCGCATCAAAGACCGCCTCGTTGCTCATGTCACATGACCAGGAGAGGGACTACCTGCTTAGACACCTCCCTCTTCCCACCACTCACACCTACAGGCCTTTATATACCCAGCCCCAATTGACAGAAACACACACAACAACAGAGAGATCAAAGAGAGACAGAGGGAGAAAATACTAAGCTAGGTTTGCAACAAAAAGCTCTTAATCAAAACTTCAGCAGGAAGGAAACAAGAGGAAAGAAGAGACCATGTGGCAGTTTCTCCTCCTCTTGGGAACGTCACTGTTAGTGACAGGTAAGATCTTACAGATGATCTGTAGTCATAGTTTTTTAATGAAAATGTGTTGCAATTTAAACCGATTTAAATCAATGTTATGACATGCTTTGATGTGTACTTATGGATGGAGGATTGGGTTTGTGTGTGTATTCATACAGTATGTGTGTTGGTTCAGGGGGTCGGTGTCAGTGTCTGTCTGAGTATACTGAGATGTTCGTAGAGGCAGGGTCCCAGGCAGTGTTACCCTGCGTGTGTCGCCCTCCCTCCCCCTCTGCAGCCATCGTCCTCTGGAGCCAGGACCTTCACGGGTACGACTGCCTTTCTCTCCGTCCATGTCTTTCACGCTCTCCTTCTCTCTGTCCATCTCTCTCATCCTCTCTTTCGCTGTCTACCTCTGTGACTCCAATATCCTCACAGGTTCCCTTTTCATCTTTCTCTGTTCTGGTTTTTCTTTCTCTTGATCTCTTAATGTCGTTTTCTGTATCGAACGTGTTCTACAGGAGAGCATAGCATGCATTGCCATTCATCTGTATGTCTGTACAATACAAGTGTCATGTTTCAAACTTAACATTTCTTCATCTTTCTCTCAGGACGGTATGGAGAAAGGGAAAGAATGGACTGGAGCACTGGGGAATAGGAGCTGCCCAGCGTGTTCGATGCCCCCATTCAGAGGTTGGAGCTGGAGACTACAGCCTGTACATAAAGGAAGTGAGGGAGAAGGACGGTGGAAAATACACCTGCACGGTGCAGGATGGCAAGGAAATCATCTCTAAGAGGATCCTCCTCAGGGTCATCAAAGGTAAGGAGCTAAAATAACAGTAACTTATATGAAATACTGTGTGGACAATTAATTAACTTGAATTTTAGTGATATTTACTGTAATTTTAAAGTGATATTTACATGTTCTAATAACAAGGTATAACTATATTTATCTGCTATTTATGATAGTCACACATATCATAATGTGAATATGGTTAACATCTCACTGCTCTTACTTACCCATTTCTTTCTTTCACAGTATCCATCTCCCCACCTGCTCCAGTGGAGGGCAACAAAATGACGATAACTTGCAGTGTCACTCCATGGCCACAGGAGGCGACAGTGAGCTGGAAGCACAACGAGAAGCCAGTTTACCCTGAAAGTGCAGATTATGTCCTTTCAAAGACCCAGGCGGGTGTTTTGGAGAGCAAAGCATCTGCAAGCATGATGGGTAACTGGAGCTGTGTAATGCATAAAGGGAGGAAACAAGGGAAGGCCACCACAGCCCTGACAGTGAGAGGTGAGGGCTCAGACACAGTGATGTCATGTTTGGAAAGAATAAAACCTTCAAATGCAGCTGATATATTGAAGTTTAAGTTTCCTTTCTCCCTTCTCTCCTATCCATTGCCTTCCCCGTCTCTCCCCCCATCTCTTCTTTCGCTCAGGTATCGTTAACCCCTCCAGTGCCAGTGCCAAGGTGTATGCTGAGGTGGGGTCTGCTGTCACCCTCCCCTGTGTGTTCTCCACTGGACTCACCCCATCAGACCCAGCCTGGGAGAGACTGGACACCTCTGGCTCTGCTCTCCCACTCCCTCCCTCCTTCAACCTGTCCTCCCTGCCATCCATCCCTCCCTGGGACAGGTCTGTGGGTGTGGGGGAAGTGGGGCAGGGGGACGGGGGCAGGTACAGGTGCTCAGGGACAGTGGAGGGGCATCGGGTGACCAGGGAGATGCAGCTGGTGACTGCCCAAGGTGAGCCAGGCATAGAAAATAGATGATGATATTGTAGCAGTCTCCTCATTTGAATGCCTAATGTGAGTTGCACTGGTCTGCTAAATGGCTAAAATGTAAGGTAAATGTTTGAGATGAGATGGGCAAATGGTGCTTTAGAATTAGCAATCACAATGCTAATGATGCTCCTGTGTGTTCTCTCTACTCAGTGCTCAGCAACTCACCGTCTACCCAGAAGGCCCCAGTCACACTGACCTGTCACCTCAGCGACGCCAGCGAGGTCATTGAATACGAGTGGGTCCGGGTGACCTATGACCTCAATGGCACCCAATCAGAGAGCTCCGTCCAAAAAGGGAGGGTCCTGGGGATCAACAGAGTGACAGACAGGAACTCTGGCGAATGGGCTTGTCGATTTCACGGGAAACAAGGAGCTTTGGGGATGTGTGACATACCATGTACATTTGATGAGTAAGTCCTATCTGCTTACTTTGATTTCCTGTCTATTTGCATAGGATCTAGGTAGGATGTAGATACAATTCAAATGCAACAAATATCAGCAAGATGTTAAAACATTTGTCATAATTAGACACAGGGGTGGCAAGTAGCCTAGCAGTTAAGAGCGTTGGGCCAGTAACCGAAAGGTCGCTTGTTCGAGCAGACTAGGTGAAAAATCTGTCGATGTGCCTTTGAGAAAGGCACTCAACTCTAATTGCTCCTGTAAGTTGCTCTGGATAAGAACGTCTGCTACATTACTCAAATGTAAACTAAAATGTATCCTTGTTCTGTCTTGGTTGATCAGGTGGTCTGATGGGAGATAATGAGACAGGTTCTTCCAGTAATGTTGCCGTGGTAGCCGGCCTGGGTTTCTTCCTCTTGGTGCTGCTGTTGGTCTTGGTGCAGATGTACAGGAACTATCGGAGGGTACGTTCAAATAAAGCTGTGTGTGTTTTCCTTAAATCCACGTAGACATGGAAAATACATTTTTAAAAGGTTTATATAATACTTATTTAATCTCTTCTACAGCGCAAACTGATCCTGCAGTACCCTGCCCTGGAGACCATTGTTCACACCATCGCTAACGAGAGAGAGGACAGAGAGAGGAACAGAGTGAAAGAAGACGAGATCTCCAAATAGAGGAGACTCTGCAGTATGACATTTGAAAACATTTGACATGTCTAGTATCATTTGGGAGATTATGTGGTATTTGTACATATTAATTCAGTGCAGACAATTGTAGCAGTTGCTTTCCTACTTTGACAAAAAAAGTGATATTTTATTTGAAATGTTATTGATTTTGTATATGTATGCCTTATTTTTCACTACCAGCACCATAACCACCTATTTGACTTTTGTAATATAATGAATCACTGAGAATAAAATTATCTAAACACTTTATTGGTTTAAATCTCTCTTTATTACAATATATCAGTCTGAATCTCCCAAATGGGTCACAATACCAAATATGCAGTTACTCTTATAAATTAACAACTCAAATGAAGTTCAAACAAACGTGTCATTCTATATACAGTGGGGAGAACAAGTATTTGATACACTGCCGATTTTGCAGGTTTTCCTACTTACAAAGCATGTAGAGGTCTGTAATTTTTATCATAGGTACACTTCAACTGTGAGAGACGGAATCTAAAACGAAAATCCCATTGTATGATTTTTAAATAATTAATTTGCATTTTATTGCATGACATAAGTATTTGATCACCTACCAACCAGTAAGAATTCCGGCTCTCACAGACCTGTTAGTTTTTCTTTAAGAAGCCCTCCTGTTCTCCACTCATTACCTGTATTAACTGCACCTGTTTGAACTTGTTACCTGTATAAAAGACACCTGTCCACACACTCAATCAAACAGACTCCAACCTCTCCACAATGGCCAAGACCAGAGAGCTGTGTAAGGACATCAGGGATAAAATTGTAGACCTGCACAAGGCTGGGATGGGCTACAGGACAATAGGCAAGCAGCTTGGTGAGAAGGCAACATGACGGTCAATCACCCTTGGTCTGGGTCTCCATGCAAGATCTCACCTCGTGGGGCATCAATGATCATGAGGAAGGTGAGGGAAGAGCCCAGAACTACACGGCAGGACCTGGTCAATGACCTGAAGAGAGCTGGGACCACAGTCTCAAAGAAAACCATTAGTAACACACTACGCCGTCATGGATTAAAATCCTGCAGTGCACGCAAGGTCCCCCTGCTCAAGCCAGCGCATGTCTAGGCCCATCTGAAGTTTGCCAATGACCATCTGGATGATCCAGAGGAGGAATGGGAGAAGGTCATGTGGTCTGATGAGACAAAAATAGAGCTTTTTGGTCTAAACTCCACTCGCCATGTTTGGAGGAAGAAGAAGGATGAGTACAACCCCAAGAACACCATCCCAACCGTGAAGCATGGAGGTGGAAACATCATTCTTTGGGGATGCTTTTCTGCAAAGGGGACAGGACGACTGCACCGTATTGAGGGGAGGATGGATGGGGCCATGTATCGCGAGATCTTGGCCAACAACCTCCTTCCCTCAGTAAGAGCATTGAAGATGGGTCGTGGCTGGGTCTTCCAGCATGACAATGACCCGAAACACACAGCCAGGGCAACTAAGGAGTGGCTCCATAAGAAGCATCTCAAGGTCCTGGAGTGGCCTAGCCAGTTTCCAGACCTGAACCCAATAGAACATCTTTGGAGGGAGCTGCAAGTCCGTATTGCCCAGTGACAGCCCCGAAACCTGAAGGATCTGGAGAAGGTCTGTATGGAGGAGTGGGCCAAAATCCCTGCTGCAGTGTGTGCAAACCTGGTCAAGACCTACAGGAAACATATGATCTCTGTAATTGCAAACAAAGGTTTCTGTACCAAATATTAAGTTCTGCTTTTCTGATGTATGTATCAAATACTTATGTCATGCAATAAAATGCAAATGAATTACTTAAAAATCATACAATGTTATTTTCTGGATTTTTGATAAAAATTACAGACCTCTACATGCTTTGTAAGTAGGAAAACCTGCAAAATCGGCAGTGTATCAAATACTTGTTCTCCCCACTGTATACAGCATTTCAGTTAACTGACACACCATCAGAAAGTACACTTGTATAAGACAGTATAGGCGTCTACAGATGTAGGATCTTAATAATGCTGCAGCAACAGGATTTGAACATTTAGTCCATAATGTTGCTTGAGCTGGCCAAAAGTAGGCTACATGAAAAGTGCAATACTGTTAATATAACCGTGTGTTAGTGTGGGTTTTCAGTGAATTTATGTAAATCACGAAGCTCATCTGTATTTCCTGCGATGCAGGAAAATTCTCAGCAACAAAAGAGTGATCAAATTAAGATCCTACATCTGTAGTGCTAACAACATTATGTAGGAATTATGCAGGTTGAAGACAATTATTCTGCTGTTCACTCAGACTCATAATCACAAACTCAAAATCACTCAAACATTCCATGCAACAAACTGAAATGTCTGCATCTCTATCAAACAACATTTGGTGGCAATCAGCTCACTCAATCAACATCTTGCTGTGGATCACATTGTTGTTATATGTCTACACCGACATAATGAAAATCTCAAATTACATATAATTCCCCATAAAGTGCAGATAAAGGCTTGGAGAATGAAGGGCTCACTGTAGCCTATGCAGAACTACACCTGACTAATAATCCCGTCCTCCTGCGTGTCGATTCGCTGAAAGTCTCTCAAGGTCAAAGTTTGGCTGAGCCCCACCTCAGTCGCTTCCCACCACTCCTCATCAACCCCAACGCCACTGTCCTCTGGGGTCAGCTGATCGAGGACCTCATTGGCGTCAAAGCACCAGCCTGGCCAATCAACGGTGGCGCCATCAGGGAAGGCGGAGCTAGAAGAGAGAGGGGAAAAAAAGCTTTTACAATGGATATAAACTTGTTGGATTGCAAATAGTTTAGTCACCAGATTTGTTTCTGCTTCAGTCTACTTCCTTGTTGTTCACTGGAATGTTTGGCATAACATTAACAAAGTAGTTGGCTAAAGTGGAAACCAATCTGGTGATCAGGCTAGATTGGTTATGATGACATGGTTGTCATGACATGTAAGATGTTTATGCGTGGCATGTCATGGTTATGACAGTAAATGCAACTTGCAAGAATAACAATTTGAACATAGAGTGATCCTACACTACTTGGTAATCAGCCCAGTAGGTAGAGTGATAAAATAACCCAGAATGAAACTGTTCCATAGTAACAGAACACACTGGCCATCAGCCACCCACACCTATCTGATTGAGTCATTTCAATAGATGAATCTTCAAACTGATCACGCATACTTTGAAAACGTTTTTTTTCTTTTATTTCTAACTGAGTTTTGATGTAAAACTCACCTGCTCTTCTCCTCCTCCTCATCTCCCTCCACCCTCTCCTCTATCCATCCCTGACTGACACTGGGGGCCCGACGTCTGACCAGCTCCACCTCTTCCCACTCAGTCTCTCTATCCCCTTCACTGGGCGACTGGGACGGAGTGCTGGAGAAAGACGGAGAAGGAGGAAGATCCCATGTTCTGAAGGTTGGAGATTTCCCCTTTTCCTCTCTTTTCCCTCTGTCCTTCCTTCTCTCATTGGCCCGGTTCAAAATGCCCTCCAGAGGGGAGGGGTGTAAGTATGGATCCAACCCAGGAGGGGGAGAGGGGGCTATTCGCACGTTGGAGGGCTTGGTTGAGGTCAGAAGAGAACTATGCCCTTCTTGGAGGATGATATCGGGCATGGACGTGCTCCTCTGTGTCCTCAACTTGGGCCTTTTTGGGGTGTTTTCTTTTTCTTTAGGGATGTCTTTGGGCAGCTCTGGCTCAGAGAAAGCGTGGGGCTCTGGGGAGAACTCGCTCTCTGCAGGCATGTCCCAGAACACCCCTCCGTTAATCTTCAAGGACCCCAGCTTGAGCACAAGGTGAGAGTCAGAGCTCTGTTCGGAGGAACCTGAGTTGTGTTGGTAGGAACCTCTGAGTTTCTGGTTGCAGTCTGAGTCAGAGTTGGAGGAAGAGTTTGTGTGTGGCGCAGACTGGGTCATCCCGGAGCTGTCAGACCCACTTTGTGACATCTGAGGGGCAGCAGTCTGCTCAGTGTTTATTGGCCTTCTCCTGCGTAACCGTGGCGAATTCAACTTCCGAGAAAACCTCCATGATTCCGCTAAAGCCTCCTCCTCTCCTGATTGGGTGAGCCACAAGTTTCTCCTGGCTCCCTGCTCCACTGACTGGGGGGCAGAATTCCTCCGTGTGGATGTGGCTCGTCCTCCCTGTGAGAGAAATCCATGGGATTCCATCTGACTAATGGTGATAGAAACTTTTGGATTGTTTCCCCTGCATGGAGAAATTGGGAAAGTGCTGGATTGGTGTCGTGGGTAGTCTATGTCGTAGTCGATGTCAGGATATCCGCCTAGCAACAGGTTGTGTGGCCCCTTGGGTTTGGGATTGAGGTTGGAAGGTTTCTGTTGCCTCTCGGGGTAGAGAGTTAGACTGTCTGGAATGGGTCCAGGTCACCCTTCGTTCTTTAATCCCCCTGGACTCAATCCCCTCCTCCCATTGGTTGATGTCTCCGACCTCTCTCACCCCTGCCTCTGACATCATAACCCCATCCATGACCCTGCCACCTCCTTGTCCCTTTTTCATTAGCCCGCCTTCGAATGATTGGTTATGAATGTCACTGAGCTTGCGTGGTTGTCCCGGCAACATTGCATCTTTATAGTCCACTGGTTCCTGAGTTTGTTGTTGCACCTCCGTTGCTATGGACACCAATGTCCCATTCACTGATTGGATGAGGAGTTCCTCAACAGGTTTCACCTCCAAAGAGGAAGTGATCTCTGCTTCTGATTGGTCAGGAGGCTGATCTACTGATTCCTCATTGGTCATCTTGGGCTCTGTAGGGGGTGTGGCCTGTTCCTGTAGCTGTAGGTCTCTCTGTTTGGTCTGCAGTCGTCTGATGGCCTCTGTCTCTCTCAGGCCCTGCAGTGTTTCCTGTCAATGAATGGAAGAAAGAAAGAGGGATAAGAGGAGAGCATCGACAGCATCGATATCCCTGTATGTTAACCATAATGTACATTGTACATCTAATCATTAATTCATTGATTATTTCAGTGCCTTGTTGAATACCAAAGAGACCAAAAGGTAACTACAATAAATCATGTCATTACCATTTCAGTCAATACCCTGCAAGTAGCAGAATGTATTTTCTGTCTGTTTACCTGTGCCTCGTGGATGGTGAAGACCCATGTAGAGCAACTCTCTGGGCTGGACGTGGAGAAGGTGTAGACATTCGCCGCACAGCCCAGAACACTCACCTCTACCACCACAAACGAACCTGGGAGATGGAGAGAAGAGGGAGGAAGAGAGGGAGAGAGCAAGGGAGAGATAAAGAAGAGAGAACCGTCATTTAAAACTCTACAACCGGTCTCTGTAGCAAGTGACAGAGCAACGTTTCATCTTTCCACTTATAGGATATGTACTGTATGGTCAATGACTGTACTCACAGCCATCTTTGAGTGCGACACAGCAAGTTCTGTCCAGGGCCAGTGGGGGGCGCACTACCTTCAGTCTCTCTGCCTTCTTCTGGACCTTGGTCACCAGCAGCACGTCAGAGAAGAGCAGGGCTATCACCTCCAACTTCACCACACAACAGTCGCAACAAGCCCACAGAAACATGACATCTATATTTTACATTTTAGCCATTTAGCAGATGCTCTTATCCAAAGCAACTTACAGTTAGTGCATTCATCTTAAGATAGCTAGGTGAGACAACCACATATCACAGTCTTAGTAAGCACATTTTTCCTCAATAAAGTAGTTATCATCAAAGTCTGTGCTAATGAGATGATAATATTGGGAAGAATCCTCTACATGGAAGTCAACTTTTCATGGGAACACAGTTAATAAGAGATTCTGTCACTCAACGTACCTTGTGATCCTTCCTTCCTCTGATCTTCAGGGTCTCCTCCAGTAGCAGCTTGCGTATGACCCCAGGACCCACCCCTCTGACGGGACACGTCAAATCAAAACTGCAGAACTCTCTGACATGCTGTGGATGACATCAACATTGAATACTCACTGTCTGCATCACACATTACAGTATCTATATCATTTTTTAAGGTTGGTATAGTTTCCTATCCTGTACTCTGTTCCTAGAAAGCTTTTTCCTCTCTCTTTCACCTTGTCGATTTCCTCGTTCATCCCCTCTATTATGTCGTATCCCTCTATCTTCTGGGCGGAGAGAGAGAGGGCCAGCTCCTCATCCTTAAGCCTCAAGTTGTCATTGATGCTGTCCAGAAACCCATTAACACAGGCCAACTGGAGGAGAGAAGGGGGAGAGGGATAGGGAGAGATAGAAAGAGAGATTGAGAAAGAAAAGAGAGAGTGAGTGAGTGAGAGAGAGAGAGAAACAGAGAGAGGGAGAGAGTATGTGTGTGTGAGACAGAGAGATTTCCCTTAATTTGCCTTTTCGTCTATTACTAGTAGAGGCAATTAGCAATCAGTTAGCAAGAAAATGGCGCTGGAACACACAACTGTCCTTTTCTAATGAACATGAACAGCCTCAGGTCTGGCAAACTGAATTAAAAGGCATTGATTTAAAAGGCTAGCTCTTCACTTACCATGCCCCTGAGTGTGTGCTGTGTGTGGGGAGCCTGGGTGGTCTTGAGGACAGCCTTCAGCAGCAGGGGGTACTTGGTGATCCTCTGGATGGGTTTGGCCTGCATGTCTCCCAGACGCATCCGCTCACACTGGGGGTGTGTCTCCACCCACTATGGACACACGGAGAAAAACATTCATTTGTGTCTTCTACTAGAGTCTCTAGACATTATACCCAAAGTTATGGCATTGGTATAACTCATGTTAATACAGTATTGTGTATGAAAAAATATTGTTACATAGTACTGGACAAATTCAAAGGCTTGCAAAACTCATAATGGAGATTCTTTGAACAAGCCGTAAAAGTGCTTAGACCTAAAAAAACAGCCAAAGACATGTTCTAATCTTTAAATTGACAATGTGCAGGCTAGGCTCTCTGAGTCATTAGGACAGGGTGTTGATGTAACAAGTGTTTGGCCTTCAGGATATTACCAATAACAGAATGCCTGGATATGGTGATAGCCAAAACCACTAGAGCATGATCAATAACAGAAGAAGTTCTGCGGCTGCTATGACTCAGTACACTGATGTTCCAGACTGTGTTACCGTAATGAAGGGCAGTTTGGAGAACCGTGTGTGTGATGCAGAGTGACTTTAGGGGGAGAGTGATAGGGTGTGCATGCCATGTAAACAAGAAGTGGGCTTGTGTATGAAGCGGTGTGTGTGTGTGTTTCTGTCTCCCATTCCATGTACCATAATGCTGCTATTGGCAAGGACATTCTCACCTTTACTGTTAAGGCGAGTTCTACCCACAAAAATACAACCTAGCTCTCTGGTACCCTGCAAACCATGATCCCTTCTGTGTTTTACACCCTGAGGTAAATGTAAAGGAGTCTGTTGCACATGTTATTGGTTTCCGTTCATACTGAGACTAGTAAATTACTAGACATGACTGCCTTGTTGACCTGGTAGCTACGGAGATGAGACAGGTGGACTCACCAACCGAACACATACACAAACATTCTCTTGTCAGAGAAGCCTGGTTTTATGTTGATGATAATGTGTTTTTCTTGTATGCCGAATAAGCCAGATATTGTTTTTGTGGGGGAGGTCAGAGGGAGGTGCTGATTTTGGAGGTGGGCTGCTCATTTGACTGCTACATGGAGCAGTCCTTTTCTGATAAGCTGCTTAAATAACAGCCCCTCGTGTCACGCCTGAACAGCCTCGTATCAGTGCATGCTTGCTGTGGTGATATTGGGAAGCTTCTGCCATGTTCACAGGCTGACATGACAGTACCTGGCCTTCAGATAGCAGGCCTACATAAGACAAAGCTGATAGCGAGGTACTGCTCTGTGTCAGCAGTCATGGGCAGCCTTGCTGTGTGGAGAAGAAGGTGCTATCTGTTTCCAAAGGTGAAGTCGCTCTGGATAAGAGCGTCTGCTAAATGACGTAAATGTAAAATGTAAATGTGTCCAGATATCCCTGTCCTGAAATGTATGAATTTTGATTTGTGGATTCAAATAAAGTATAAAAAATGTGTGTTTGTGTGTGTGTGTGCGTGTGTGTGTTTAACTCACCATTAAGTAGGTGTGGAAGTGCAGGTTGGTGTCTATCTGTGTGCTTGTAAACTCCACTGTGCGCTCCTCCTTCCAACAGTAATGCAGATAGGTGGAGAAACGCTCAGGGAACTACAGACAGAGGGTGGGGATGGGATTAGACAAGGATTGCTGTAAACAAACATGTTTTAAACCCATGACCCGTGTTTCTATTCCTTCCTTTCACCCCCGTCTGACCCTTATACTTTTCATCCCATACGTGACCCTGATACGAGCCTACTAGATCTGATTGACAGTCAGCACTGTACCTGTAGGCATCCCGCCTCTAACCCCAGGGGGTCAAAGGGCTTCCCTGTCCTGCGGACTTCCTGTAACATGGGATACATCACTTCCTGCCAGAAGAGCCGGTGGGCGCTGAGGATGGAGGGAAGGTTGGAGAAGAGCTGCTCAGGTGTCACCTGCGGAAGAGAGGGAAAGGAAAAAGAGGGTAATGATACTGCTTTCTTGATTTTGAACCTAGAATCTACCCCACACCTCTAGGATTTGTTGGAAGTGTCAGTGTCATTTTGTGTTGAAGTTTGTGTGTGTCTAAAGTCAATACAAATATATGATAGCTGTAGACATTTTTGTATTTAATAAAAAAAGATTAAGGGGGTAATTGTTTGATAAAGCTGCAGTGTCTAGCTGTAGAACTCTGCAGAACTCACACCCCCACATTCTCAGATACTTTCCACATTACCTAACATTCTGTTATTGAGCTGAATGTTCCATCTGCACTGGTGTGTTCTGTGTCAGTTAGAGCAGATGTTCTCAGTGTGTTAGTATGTCAGCTCAGCAGTATGTACAGTATGTATGTACAATATGTACAGTATGTATGTACAGTATGTTGTACTACAGCAGTCGGTTTCAACTAGGCCCAAGGGCCTCTCCTTGAATGGTATACTGGTTTTCAATTCAACCAAAGGTCAAAGTCATTCATAAAAACACACACACCTGATCCCAGTCAGATCATGCAAGATCCAGCTCAAAAGCACATTCTTAGTTCATTGCAACACATCTATTTGAGTGGTCAGCCGGCATACACAGAAAGGCCCAAAGAGCAGCAAGAGAGGGAGTTCTAGAGAAAATGTTACCAACAGAAAACCCAGTGAATGAGAACCCAGCTCAATTTAGACTGACCTCTAAGAGGAATCCATGCTGGTGCAGGTTGGTTAGAGCTCCAACCACCAACTGAGAAACACAATGACAGAAACAAACACGGGCATTGAAAAATGAAATTGCAATAAAATATGCTATACAGATAACAGTTACTCTTATCATATTTCTATTATGAATAGCCACTGGTTGTTATGGACACATCACTGAAAGACATTGATAAGTTTGCAGTAATGAGAGTAATGAGAGCAGGGTGTCTGTCTGTCTGTCTGTCTGTCTGTCTGTCTGTCTGTCTGTCTGTCTTACGTCAGTGACAATAGTGAGCTTGTTGATGTAGGTGAGCTCAGTGTGGACCAACTCCCACAGCGCCTCCTGTTGGTGCCTCTGGGTCTTACACATAATCTGATCAGAGAAAGGTAGGGGGGGGGGGGAGAGAGAGAGAGAGAGAGAGGAAGGAAGGAAGGAAGGGAGAGAGGGGGTGGGAGAAAGAGATATGTTGTAAAAGGTAGGGAGGGATCATTCATATTAACTAGATTATATGCCCATGACTTGCATTTATCAGTAGGTAAATCTGGTTACCGAGTGATTGTGTACTATGTCAGTCCAGTTGTTCTCCAGTGTGGCTCCTGTCCCCTCCTCCCCCCAGCTCCAGTTCAGACACACTGGTACTGGGAATGCCTCCAGAGCCTGCTTCAGAGCATCCAACTGCCCTGAGCCCTGACAGAGAGAAAGAGAGAGAGGGAGAGGGAGTGTGTGAGAGAGGGAGAGAGAGCAATAGAGATATATATATACACACACACACACACATACAGTCCCAGTCAAAGGTTTGGACACCTACTCATTCCAGGGTTTTTCTTTATTTTTACTATTTTCTACATTGTAGAATAATAGTGAAGACATCAAAACTATGAAATAACACATGGAATCATGTAGTAACCAAAAAAGTGTTAAAAACATCAAAATATATATGCTATTTGATATTCTTCAAAGTAGCCACCCTTTGCCTTGATGACAGCTTTGCACACTCTTGGCATTCTCTCAACCAGCTTCACGAGGAAGTCACCTGGAACGCATTTAAATTAACAGGTGGGCCTTGTTAAAAGTTAATTTGTGGAATTTCTTTCCTTCTTAATGCGTTTGAGCCAATCAGTTGTGTTGTGACAAGGTAGATAGCCCTATTTGGTAAAAGACCAAGTCCATATTATGGCAAGAACAGCTCAAATAACCAAAGAGAAACGACAGTCCATCATTACTTTCAGACATGAAGGTCAGTCAATACAGAACATTTCAAGAACTTTTAAAGTTTCTTCAAGTGCAATCGCAAAAACCATCAAGCGCTATGATGAAACTGGCTCTCACGAGGACCGCCACAGAAATGGAAGACCCAGAGCTACCTTTGCTGCAGAGGACAAGTTCATTAGAGTTACAAGCCTCAGAAATTGCAGCCCAAATAAATGCTTCACAGAGTTCAAGTCACAGACACATCTCAACATCAACTGTTCAGAGGGGACTGTGTGAATCAGGCCTTCATGGTCGAATTGCTGCAAAGAAACCACGACTAAAGGACACCAATAAGAAGAAGAGACCTGCTTGGGCCAAGAAACACGCGCAATGGAAATTTGTCCTTTGGTCTGGAGTCCAAATTGGAGATTTTTGGTTCCAACCGTCGTGTCTTTGTGAGACGCGGTGTGGGTGAATAGATGATCGCCACATGTCTAGTTCCCACCGTAAAGCATGGAGCAGGAGGTGTTATGTTGTGGGGGTGCTTTGCTGGTGACACTGTCTGTGATTTATTTAGAATTCAAGGCACACTTAACCAGCATGGCTACCACAGCATTCTGCAGCGATACTCCATCCCATCTGGTTTAGGCTTAGTGGGACTATCATTTGTTTTTCAACAGGACAATGACCCAACACACCTCCAGGCTGTGTAAGGGCTATTTTACCAAGAAGGAGAGTGATGGAGTGCTGCATCAGATGACCTGGCCTCCACAATCCCCCGACCTCAACCCAATTGACATGGTTTGGGATGAGTCGGATGGCAGAGTGAAGGAAAAGCAGCCAACAAGTGCTCAGCATATGTGGGAACTCCTTCAAGACTGTTGGAAAAGCATTCCAGTTGAAGCTGGTTGAGAGAATGCCAAGAGTGTGCAAAGCTGTCATCAAGGCACAAGTGTGCCATTTGAAGAATCTCAAATATAAAATATATTTTGATTTGTTTAACACTTTTTTGGTTACTACATGATTCCATATGTGTTATTTCATAGTTTTGATGTCTTCACTATTATTATACAATGTAGAGAATAGTCAAAATAAAGAAAAATCCTTGAATGAGTAGGTGTGTCCAAACTTTTGACTGGTACTGTATTTATAGTATTACCACACACCCCATATATTGATAAGATAAACATACATACTCAGAAATATATATCAATCAATACAGTACATCATTACTTTAACATAAGTGTCAATACAGAACAAAAAGTTTTAGTCAGCACCATTGTGCAGTTCTCCCACTAGATGAAGAGCTGGTCTTTCACGATGGTACCGTCCATGCAGACAAAATGGAAATCCAGAGATACTTTGCTGAGATTTTTAAGTTCTTAATTGCAAGCCATATTGGAGCCCAAATAATGCTTCATACAAGTTTCAATCACTTGTATTCCATTTTGCAATGACACATCAACGTTTTCGTAGGTGACATGTTTATCACACCGTTCTGGTTTGGCATTCCTCTGCAGATACTCACTCTAAAGGACCAATAGTATGAGGACTGTCTTGGGCAAAAACACGCTCAACTGGCCCAAATTTTCCTATGGTGGTCTGGGATGTGCCACCAGACCTTGAGATGTTTTGGTCCAACCCGTCGTTGCCCGGGCGGTGTGTTTGGGATCATTGTCATGCTGAAAGACCCAGCCACGTTTCATCTTCAATGCCCTTGCTGATGGAAGGAGGTTTTCACTCAAAATCTCACGATACATGGCCCCATTCATTCTTTCCTTTACACGGATCAGTCGTCCTGGTCCCTTTGCAGAAAAACAGCCCCAAAGCATGATGTTTCCACCCCCATGCTTCACAGTAGGTATGGTGTTGTTTGGATGCAACTCAGCATTCTTTGTCCTCCAAACACGACGAGTTGAGTTTTTACCAAAAAGTTCTATTTTGGTTTCATCTGACCATATGACATTCTCCCAATCCTCTTCTGGATCATCCAAATGCACTCTAGCAAACTTCAGACGGGCCTGGACATGTACTGGCTTAAGCAGGGGGGACACGTCTGGCACTGCAGGATTTGAGTCCCTGGCGGCGTAGTGTGTTACTGATGGTAGGCTTTGTTACTTTGGTCCCAGCTCTCTGCAGGTCATTCACTAGGTCCCCCCGTGTGGTTCTGGGATTTTTGCTCACCGTTCTTGTGATCATTTGACCCACGGTTGAATCTGCGTGATCCGATCGGGAGAATTCAAGGTTGTATGTCTTCCATTTCCTATAATGCTCCACAGTTGATTTTCAAACAAGCTCTTACTATTGCAGATTAGTCTTCCAGCTGGTGCGTCTACAATTTTGTTCTGGTTCCTTGACAGCTCTTTGGTCTTGCCATAGTGGAGTTGGAGTTGATGTTTGAGGTTGGCGGTTCTTTTATACTGTAGACAAGTCAAACAGTGCCATTAACAGGTAAGAGTGAGGAAAAGTCCTCTTAAGAAGAAGTAAGGTTGTGAGGCCAAACTTGCTTGATTGTAGTGACCAATACGTTTATTTTTCCACACATAATTGCAAATAAATTCATATAAACCTACAATTATTCGATTCTATTTCATTTGTCTGGATAGTTGACGTGTACATACGAAAATTACAGGCTCTCATCTTTTTAAGTGGGAGAACTGCACAATTGGTGCTGATAAATACTTTTTCCACTTATATACATATATATACATATATATATATATATGTATGTGTGTATATATATATATTATATATATATATATATACACACACATACATATATTATATATATATATACACACATACATATATATTATATATATATATATATATATATATATACATATATATATATATATATATATATATATATATATATATTCCACCAGAGTTATCATCAAATTTCGTTTAGAAATGGGCCCATAGCAGATATGCTTGAGTGAACAATTTGAGTGTGCATTTGCGGAATTCCTATTTTCAGTAAGTATGTGGGCAGTGGCAGTGCATGTCTGTGCATGTGCGTGTCAGGGTGTATTCATGTGTGTAGAGGACGAGTTAAGTGCGTGGGAGAAAAGTACCTCAGGCATGGGGCTCTTTTCTGTCGCTCCCTGGCTGAACAGGACCTGTCTCAGTGCTGCTCGGGGTTTGAAACTTCCAGACGCTCCCTTACTCACCGTGCTATAGTCTGCCACCACTTTCTGCTTCAGCTTCCTCTGAAAATGACAGAGAATAATGTCAATATACAGTATGTGTCTGCTGTGGTAGCCTGAATATTAGGAAGTCCACATAGCCTTCTGGTAGGCTGGGTGAAGTTTCTACCATTTGGCTTCAGGATGTAGATTAAGTGTCATGGGGGGCTCAAGTTTAGGGTTGATTTCGAACTGGTCCTCCTGCATCTACAAATAGAAGCTGAAGTTCATAGCCCTCACCTGGTATCCCACAGTATTTAATCTGTGTTTGTCTGCTGACACCCTGTGGTTGGTAGCTGTCTCTGCAGCCAGAGTTTCTCCATCTGTCACCACCTCTCTCTCCATCTCCCTCTCCCCCTCTCCTCCATTCCTCTGCTGCTCCACTGTTTCCTCTGGCTGAGTCACATCACTTCCCCCTCCTTCGTTGAAAGGGGTTGCTGCTTTTGAGGAAAGGCTGAAGAGATAAATCAGCATAAACACAGTGTTGGCCTAATGCTTGGGGCTTACAGAGAGAGAGAGAGAGAGTTTTGAGTTTGTATAAAACCTTTATTTTATACTCAAGTGTTAACATAAATAATGGCACACTGCCTTTTCAGAAATGAAACAACAAATGTCATTCCTAAATAAAAAATGAAAATAAAAATGAAAATAAATTAAATAAAAATACAAGAAAACACATACATTCAACTCATTTCATCAACAAAAAATAGTTTCCCCTCCTCCACAAAACAAACCGCTCCTTCGTAGGCCCACTTCTCCTCAAACAATGGGAGATCTTTTACAGCCGAGAATAACTCAAAATCCACTTTTATTCTCGCTTTCACTAATCCTTTAAAAACACATCTTACATCCTGCCCATATCCCATTTCTATCTTATGTTTCCTACTCAGGAAACAGTTGACATTTTCTTTTCTGTTGCTTACTATATTGAAACCCCAAAATATGAAAATCTCCCCTACAGCTATAAACAGACTCCAGCATTTCCAAGAGAGGTTTTATCCTCTCACACTCCATAAAACAACATTTTTTCTCTTATATTACAAAAAGGACATCCATCTCCAACATCCGAGTTAATAACAGATACAAAAGCATTAACTGCAATGATACCATGCAAAACCCTCCATTGCATATCCCCAGTACCCTTTTGTAACGGTGGCTTGTTCAGTGCTCTCCATGCTGGCTTTACCTTGTCATCAATGCCCAATTTTACCCTCCATGGAGTGTCTTTTCTATTTTTCAATGTATCTTTATTCAACACCTTGACACACCCCTTATATAAGTCTTTCCCATTCACCTCATCCAAACCCACCTCTTCCAACCCTCTCAAATCCAGTAATAACGCCTTTCTTTCTGACTCTGGGATATTGGGTATAATCCCTAGTCTTGGAAATGAGACGTTTTCATCTTGTGACTATTCAGCATACCCCACTCTTCTGCTGACAGAGCCTTCCTGCAGCTTCCCAGCAGTTGTCCGACAATCCTTTCCAACCTCACCCCCAAATGTTCAGCCACCCATCTTCCATCCATTAAAGCGGGCCCAGCCATGGCCATTAACTGTTTTAAGGTGATGATTTTGCCCTTCACCAGAATCTCAGAGAAATGTGGAACAGCTGCAGTTGTACAATCCAGTCTTGCCCCATACACCAGAGGTTCCTCCAACAGCCAATGCACTGACTCCGCTGAAGTTCGTCTGGACACCTTCATTATGCTCCACACCCTAAGAAGGACTCTATAAAACGGAGGTACTCCCTCCCTAGAAATCTGGCTACTATCAACCAAAAATAAAGCCTTCTTTAAACCTAATCCCCCAACCTGCTGTAAAACAAGACCTGCCAACCCTCTCCAAACCACATTTTCCGGTCCATAAAGCAACCTTTGAATAAACTGAAACCGGAAAGCAGCAGCCCTATTAGCAAGAGCTGAACCCAAACGCCTCAAAAGTGTGCCATAAGTATTGATGTTCAACTCGGTCAAATGCCTTTTCCTGATCAATTGAAATTAGACCAGCATCCAACCCAATAGCCCTAGAGACGTCCAAAAAACACGAATCAGAGAAATGTTATCCCCCATCTGCCTGCCAGGAACACAGTAGGAATGGTCTGTATGTATGATTTGCCCCATCACCTCCCTCAGCCTGTTGGACAAAGCTTTTGACAGGATCTTATAATCAGTGCACAATAAAGTCACCGGCCTCCAGTTCTTCACCTCCCTAGGGTCACCCTTTTTGGGCAGTAGGGTGAGGACAGCCCTTCTGCAGCTTATTGGTAGTAACCCTCCGGTTAAACTATCATTAACTACTGCTAGCCAATCCTCTCCCAACATAGCCCAAAAAGACTTTAAAAAGTCCACGGGAAGCCCATCAATGCCTGGTGCCCTTCCATTTTCCATGCCTTTTAATGCAGTGTATATGGTTGCTCTAGCTCCACCTGAGCTTCTGCAGCCACCTGTGGGAGCCCATCAAGGAACTGCTGTGTCACTGTTTTATCCTCTTTGTACTCACACTTGTAGAGCTCAGCATAGAACTCTACTGCCATCTTTCTAATTTCACTAGGGTTAGTGAGCTCCTGTCCATTCTTTTTCTCTAAACCAAAGAAAATGTTTGAGGAGGCATCCATTTCAGAGATTCCCTGAAACTTACTTCTCACCAATGCCCCCTGTGCTCTGATACCTAGCAGGTCTGCCAATGCAGCTTTTTTCCTCTTGAGGGCCTGAGTATGGCCTCGATCTCCTGTGGTCTCAACCAACGTCATGAGTTCCACTATTTCAGTCTCTAGGGCTTTCATTGATCTGGTGATATCCTTGGTGACATTCCTCGTGTATTGATTACAGAATTGTTGAAATGAATATTCCCTATATCCCACCACTGTTGAAGGGATACAAAACTGGCCTTTTGAGACCTCCACCTCTCCCAGATAAAACTAAAACATTTCCTGAAGTGAGCATCACTCAATAAAGTTATATTAAAATGCCAGTATGCGCTTTTGGGTTTTACATCATTAATGAACACCACCTCTGTTATTAAACAATGATCAGAAAATCCCACTGGGATTATCACACTTGATTTACAGACCTGAGCTTGATGCTCAAAACAATAAAACCTATCTAACCTGGCCATAGAGATGATGTTCTCTCTCACATGCGCCCAGGTGTACTGTCTCGTGCCTCCATGTTGACTCCGCCAAATATCACACGGTACATGTGTTACAATGAGGTGTTTTTAAAAAGTCCTTGAGGCTATATGAGGTTCTTTGTGATTTATATCTAAATCACTGACTGTGCAGTTAAAATCCCCAGCAATAAATAAATCATCTTCATTATTACATTTCTCAATGGTATTTGATAATGTCTCTAAAAAACATACCCTCTTAACTGCCACCACTGGGGTATATACATTTATCAGACACATAGTGATGTTTTCATACCTTGCTCTAACTTTTAATAACCTCCCCTCAACTACCTCTTCAACCTCTCAACCCCCCCCCACCCCCCCTTTCTGCCTCAGTCAACCTGGGCTCCCGAGTGGCGCAGTGGTCTAAGGCACTGCATCTCAGTGCTTGAGGCGTCACTACAGACCCCCTGGTTCGATTCCAGCCTGTATCACAACCGGCCGTGATAACAGAGATAACAGGAATAACATAAGTGAGACAATGTGAAGAACACTAGACAATCTGACACGGGTAGAGTCACACAGGGCTCTCAGCTTTAGTTACAGTGTGATGAAGGTGAAACCTCAAAAACAACTTCACCTTACACAAATTCACACATATCTGACCCTCACTCAAATACACCAACTACAGTATGTCCTCCAAGGGCTTTGGGTTACACAGCAAAAATGCACATTTTGTTCCCAGCCATACATCCATCACACCAAAGAAATCAACATACAGTAACCTAGAGCAGGGCTTCCCAAACTCAGTCCTGGGGCCCTCCCTGGGTGCACGTTTTGGTTTTTGCCCTAGCACAATACAGCTGATTCAAATAACCAACTCATCATCAGTTTTGTAGTACTAGGGCAAAAACCAAAACGTGCATCCAGGGGGGGCCCAGGACCGACTTTGGGAAACCCCGATCTTAAAAGCAGTGAATAATGCACACACTGCATACTTTCAGAGAGCATAAATAGTCTCTCTCTCACACACACACACACACACACACACAATCCACGCCACTGTGCCGAACATCAAAACACCTGCTCCATGACATCAGTGATTTACGTTAACCACCTGTTTACATTCACTACATCTCACTAGTAAAAATCCATTAATACTGGTGACTTCAAGTATCATTGAAACACAAATCGTCTATTTGGGTTGACACCAGGCCAACACACATCAGCCATGTTGGTCTGTGTTGGTTCTGAGGGGAACCTCAAATCAACACACAGCATAAACTAACACATTACAACACAGTAGAAGTATACTGATTATTATACAAAGAAGAAACTTTAGATTGTCAAGGCATTGATTGAGGGTAATAGTCAAAGATAGTGTCTTCACAAGTCTACTCATATGGTAATAAATTAAAGTAAAATTAGCTACCTGGGTTTGGTTGGATCCATCTTGATTCAGACAGTCATCTTACGTTTCTGTTGGCTTTCTCACTCTTTCTCTCTTTGATTCGGTCCCTCCCTATCCTGCCTCCTGCCCACTCTAACTGGCCTGACAAGAACAACTGGATTCCTAAGATAACTAGTCTGTGCTAGGGCCTGGTTAATGTGTAGCAGTGGTGTTTGGTATGAGGGTGGCGCTGATTGATTTCTGACTAGATGGTCTGTGTTGTTTCATGTCAATTCCTGATATCGATCATTCTGTGGTAATAGCTCTACAGGAAGTGATCATGTCCTCTAAAACCCTGTCTGAGGAGTCTACCTAGAGCGAGGTGAAGAGCTCCGCCTATAAAGGTTATAAAACAGAGTTACAGAATGGCAGTTGACTGAGGAACGAGGTGATTGAAAAAGAGGATAAATGTAAAATGACAGACAGATCAACAGACATGTAGAGAGGACGTGTGAAGGGAAGTGGAAAAGGTTAGAGGGGATGTGGCCACAGGTGAACAAAGAGAGGGAGTGAGAGAGAGAGGACAGGGAAACGATAAAAAGACTGAAAGACAGAGGGAGTGTGGGAAGCATAATTTAATAAGTTAATGCAATGTAGAGGAATGCAGAGAACCTACCATAGGTTATACACACCATTACACACACACAGACCACACAGCCAGACACGCAATTAATGAGCAAGAAAACAAAGCTATACATAATGTATGCTCCAGTCATACATTGAACAGAATAGTAGCTAACACTGCCATAATGTGGTCCTCTGTAGCTCAACTGGTAGAGCACGGCGCTTGTAACGCCAAGGTAGTGGGTTCGATCCCCGGGACCACCCATACACAAAAATGTATGCACGCATGACTGTAAGTCGCTTTGGATAAAAGCGTCTGCTAAATGGCATATTATATTATTATTATTATATTATATTATATATTATATATAATAACAACTGCATAGCCGGTCATTTTTACAAGGGAATTTTTTATTTAAAAATATATACAATTGATCAACTTTGCTCATACCTTAAATCAAACCAATCAATGCCCGCATATACTGTATGTGATTTGAGAATAAAAATAGTTTGTCTTTAGTAAAATCACCAGTAACAATTAAATGTAAAAAAGTGCTGTAACATATCATACAATCCAATACATTGCGTTTCACTGTTACTTCTGCACCTGACATTAAACACTAGAAACGTAAGTGCTATCTATCTATCCATCTATACCTAGTTTCCATGTTTAATCTCCCAGAGAACAGTCAGCCCTGCAGAGTGAGACCTCTGACTAAATTATCCTGAATAATGGCAGCATGATGATGGGGCTTTAAGGAATGTCAATAACTCAGGGATAACACCTGCAGAAGACCTGTCTATGCCCTAACAGTACTGACAGATAACTATTACTGTACGGATATAAGAATCAATCACTTTTGGTGATCAAAAACCATGGCACAGAGACAACCTGGATGGATGTGATTGAATAGTACAGTGAATATGGTATAGTCAGAAGAAATAGGACAGATTGATACATCCCTAACCTATTATGTAAAACATGTGTAAAAATGTGTATATCAAGACAGTAGTAAAAGACAGCAAAACTACAGTAGTTTGATTTTCACGCCCAAGCAGCAACTTATCAAATATACAGCACCCTCCTATGCAGATTGAATTACCATATACAAACCACTACAAAATACTTTAAATATGACATATGCTAATATCTTCTTGATATGTTTGTGTTCGATTAATGCAAGATAGAGACAGGGAAGCTAAAAGCTATACGGATTCCGTAATTGCTCCTGTAATACATACAGGAGCAATTATGGTTAAGTGCCTTGCTCAAGGGCACATCAACCATTTTTTCACCTTATCAGCTCAGGGATTCGAACCAGCAACCTTTCAGTTACTGGCTACCTGCCACCACTTAATACTCAGTAATATAGTACTGTAATACTATAGATGGGCGTTACATGTGTATTACCCTAATTACAACGTTTAACTCAATTGTTAGTGTGGTTCTCATACCTGTGTGTGACACATTACCAGTTTGCCTGTTTACAAACAGCACTGTCTAAAACTGCTTTTTATATTATACTTAGGAAATATTGTGAAAGCATGGAAACATGGTCAGATCTGGACCAGGTGGAACAACTACCATATTGCTTAAACTGTACCAAATCTATTCTCTCAGGTCTACACAAGTAAGGACAAGGGGATGCGTCTGACCTTCTCTCTCCCCATTAGCACCTCCCCCATCTCTCGCTCTCCTAGTTATCCTATACATATGATGAATAGACTTGGTCCCGCTCGGTTTCTCTTTTGATAAGACATAGAGAAGTGAAACCTGGGTCCCCTACTTGGTCTATACAGTCTGCATCTCTCTCTCTCTCTACTGATCCCCATACTTGGTCTCCAGCTCCTCTGCAGTCCCTCCCAGGTCCATGTCTCTCAGCTTATCCAGCAGGTCGTGCAGTAGAGGGCGTGCTAGCACCCCTCCCCCTCCCTGCGCCCTTCCCTTAGCCCAGACACTCAGCATCTGGTACTGGGCTTCCTTAGTGTCACGGAGGTGGTCATTCTCAGCCCGCTCTATCACTATGTCACTCACACCCAGCGAACGCACCAGCTCCTTCACACGACGCGGGGAGACTTGGTCCAACACCGAGTAGATCAACTCAGAGACTGGAGGGAGAAAGGAACAGAGAGAGGTGATAGGAGGGGAGAGAGATTAAAATAGAGTTCAATATACACTACATGTATGTGGACACCCCTTCAAATTAGTGGATTTGTCTATTTCAGCCACACCGGTTGCTGACGGTGTATAAAAAAAAAAAAATTCGGCCACACAGCCATGTAATCTCCATAGACAAACATTGGCAGTAGAATGGCCCGTACTGAAGAGCTCAGTGACCACCTGGCACCGTCATAGGATGCCACCTTTCCAACAAGTCAGTTCGTCAAATTTCTGCCCTGCTAGAGCTGCCCAGGTCAACTGTAAGTGCTGTTATTGTGAAGTGGAAACGTCTAGGAGCAACAATGGCTCAGCCGCGAAGTGATAGGCCACACAAGCTCACAGAACGGGACCGCCGAGTGCTGAAGCGCGTAAAAACAGTCTGTCGTCAGCTGCAACACTCACTACCGAGTTCCAAACTGCCTCTGGAAGCAACGTCAGCACAAGAACTGTTCGTCGGGAGCTTCATGAAATGGGTTTCCATGGCCGAGCAGCCGCACACAAGCCTAAGATCACCATGTGCAATGCCAAGCGTCGGCTGGAGTGGTGTAAAGCTCTCCGCCATTGGACTCTGGAGCAGTGGAAACGCGTTCTCTGGAGTGATGAATCACGCTTCACTATCTGGCAGTCCGACGGACGAATCTGGGTTTGTTGGACGCTACTTGCCCGAAGGAATAGTGCCAACTGTAAGGTATGGTGGAGGAATAATGGTCTGGGGCTGTTTTTCATGGGTCGGTCTTGGCCCCTTAGTTCCAGTGAAGGGAAATCTTAAAGCTACAACATACAATGACATTCTACACGATTCTGTGTTTCCAACTTTGTGGCAACAGTTTGGGGAAGGCCCTTTCCTGTTTCAGCATGACAATGACCCCGTGCACAAAGCGAGGTCCATACAGAAATGGTTTGTCTAGATCAGTGTGGAAGAACTTGACTGGCCTGCACAGAACCCTGATCTCAACCCCATTGAACACCTTTGGGAGGAATTGGAACGCCGACTGCAAGCCAGGCCTAATTGCCCAACATCAGTGCCCAACGTCACTAATGCTTGTGGCTGAATGGAAGCAAGTCCCCGCAGCAATGTCCCAACATCTAGTGGAAAACCTTTCCAGAAGATTGGAGGCTGTTATAGCAGCAAAGGAGGGACCAACTCTAGTGGAATGAGATGTTCGATGAGCAGCTGTCCACATACTTTTGGCCATGTAGTGTATATAAAAAGAATGTTCACGTTTCAACACACACATACATACACCTTTGTTTTCATGAATTGTCAGGACTTTTTGGGGAGCAAAAATGTATTTCCATTCAAAATCCTAACCCTTAACCAAACCTAAACCCAACCCTTAAAAAAATCCTCACTTTTCTTGTTTTCCTACCTTGTCAGGACATTCTAGTCCTGATAAGTTAGGGAAACATGTGCACCCACACGTTCATATGCACATGCACTTACTCTTGATCTCCTTGGGGACACAGTCTGGTAGCTTGCTGAGGGGCTCCTGTTCACACTCACACACTGGGCTACATGAAGGGATACTCTGGTTGAGAATGTTCTCTGGGTCCTCTTGGATCAGCATCTACAATCACAGAAAATGGAAAACATCAGAATTCTACTATATAGAACTGCATCCGCTACCAGTACATCCTAAACCAGGGGGCACAGCACAATCAATATAGGAAATCCTATTGGTTTGCTCCCTGGCACTATGGTGCAAACAGTCTATAAATGCTCTTGGGTGTTCAAAACAGTAGTTGAAATGGTATCTATTTTTTCTCCATAAAACCCTTTAAAGGTTTTTATCAGATTGGGTTTGTCCAGTCAGGTGAAATGTGAGATGTCAGGGGTCAAAGGTGAGAGGTCAGAGATGTGTCTCACCCGAGTAGACTTCTCAGAGCCCTGAGAGGTGATCTCAGCAGAGGGGAAGGAGCTCGACCCCTTCAGTTTCCATCGGACCACTAGTACGCCCATGATAACCACCACCACCAGTAGCACCACACAAACACAGCCAAACACAGCCAACAGGTAGGTAGACCAAACACCCCATCCAGTGTCTTGGGCTGGATAGGGGGGGGAAGACATGCAGAGTGAGAGGATGAATACATGCTGCAGCCCTTATGGCAAATGTGAAAAGGCCACTAAAGAAATAGTCTAGTTCCAATATATTTAAGCATAACAAAAAAAAGTTTCAAAGTATATTGTGACCCACTAAATAAACAAACTATGTTTCTAGCCTGAACCCAGCCACAAAGTATAAGAAACTCACGTTTTGCATTGGGATTGGGATGTGTGCTTGAAGCACACTCCTGCTGGCAGTCAGCTGATATACAACTGGAGAGAAGATACACACAGGAAATGGTATGTTATTGAAGAGGAAGTGGCCTGTTTGTGAAGAGGAAATGATTAGTGTTGAATCATGTGAAGAACCAGTCAGGCCTTCCTGTTGCAGCATACCCCCCTCTGGAAAGACAGAACACTGAAAGAGACAGTTACCAGCGCTTTATCAGTGGTCACCTGCCTAAGGTCTTGATAAGCAGTAGATTAGGGTGAATCAGGTGTGCTGGGCTGGAACTAAAGCCTGGAGATGCAGACCTTCTCCAATCAATCTTACATAGTAACAGACTGTATGTCTCCAGGACCAGGGTTGGTGTGACCACAAAACAGCTGACATGTCAAAATACTGGCAAAATACTTCTGCCTTTTTAACTCACCAATGGAAAGAAGTTTGTTGCACAATGTTGCAGACAGTTTCTATGAAACTTCCCATTTACAAGCAGAATGTTTATAAAGCCGACAAACCCAAGAGTTTTAACAGACAAAAGAGTGTCAGCTTGTTCACAAGCCAGTACTCACTCTTTGCATTGAAGACAGATCCTGTTGTTTCGGAAGTAGAAGTCCTTACATTCACACACTGTGTCACTCTCTGGAGTACCTGTCAACAACAGTATGCACACTCAGTACAAGCACACACAAACTTTGTCATACACACACAAACACACACACACAAATACTACTAGTACTACAAAACAAAAAAAGGGTTGTCATTATTATGTAATAACCATTTTACTGTGTAATCCATAAGTAAATATCAGGTTGGGTGCAAAAATGTTGTGAAACATTATGAACTACACTAGCAAGACAAACTCACATTGCTGTGTTTTTCTCTCTCCAGGTCCACATTGCTTGCAACGGAGGCACTCCCGTGTTACTGAGTCTATTCTCTTTTTGTAGAAGCCTTCGTTGCAGCGACACTCTTTGTTCTTACTCTTCTTGCATGGTGATACCTCTGTCTCATTGTCTACAGGCATATGGAACAGCACAGCCAAGGAGAACAGAACAGAGAGAGAAGACAGGAGACATTTATTATCATATATCATACCATATTGAGACCATCTATAGTGATGACATTTTTTAAAATGTATTTTGTAAATAATTGCACGTTATTGTAAATAATTGAACATGTTTCTAAATAATTGTACTTTACCAACACAGCGTGTACAACTGCGGCAGTTGTTGACGTAGTTACTCCTGTCTAGATACGTCTTGCCCTCTTCACAGGGGACACATTGGCTATTCTCGCCCTCTTTAGTGCAGTGCTCCTTCAGCTTAAACCCTGGAGAACACAAGGCATACATACTCTAAGGGGGGCCAACACAATCCAGCATATTTATTTACTGTAAAACCTGGTAATACATTAGAGCTATAACTAGGCTAGAGATACAAATATAGTATACAGTATGTAGGGCCTATCGTGTGACAGAGGACTGAACGGTCGACAGATATACACAATAAGAGTAGAATCTTGAAATAAGATTTTTGCTTAAAGCTGGAATCCTTCATTGGTGAAACTGCCAAGTTAGTGCAAACATAGTTTTTTCCTCTCTGACATCATTGCACAGGCACACAAATCTCCCCTCGCTGCACCGAGCGAGCCAATTGAAGAGCACGTAGCCTACTCTTTTGCCTTGTGCAAAATTTGGTGATCCAGAAACAAGACCATTTGTGCGGCTGTTTTATGAAAATCTGGGAATATTTGGCCAAAGAAACATTTCTGATTCCTCTCAGGGGAAAAACAGTTAAGAAGGGAGACTTTTAAAACGGGATTGAGTGAAGTAGCATCAAATACAGTGCCTTCGGAAAGTATTCAGACCCCTTGACTTTTTCCACATTTTGTTACGTTACAGCCTTATTCTAAAATGGATTAAATATAATACATTCCTCATCAATCTACATACAATATCCCATAATAATGAAGCAAAAACAGTTTTAGATATTTTTGCAAATGTATTACAAATACAAAACAGAAATACCTTACTTACATAAGTATTCAGACCCTTTGCTATGAGACTCGAAATTGAGCTCAGGTGCATCCCGTTTCCATTGATCATCCTTGAGATGTTTCTACAACTTGATTGGAGTCCACCTGTAGTACATTCAATTGATTGGACATAATTTGGAAAGGCGCACACCTGTCTATATAAGGTCCCACAGTTGACAGTGCATGTCAGAGCAAAAACCAAGCCATGAGGTCGCAGGAATTGTCCGTAGAGCTCCAAGACAGGATTGTGTCGAGGCACAGATCTGGGGAAGGGTACCAAAAAATGTCTGCAGCATTGAAGGTCCCCAAGAACACAGTGGCCTCCATCACTCTTAAATGGAAGAAGCTTGGAACCACATAGACTCTTCCTAGAGCTGGCCACCTGGCCAAACTGAGCAATCGGGGGAGAAGGGGCTTGGTCAGGGAGGTGACCAAGAACCCTATGGTCACTCTGACAGAGCTATAGAGTTCCTCTATGGAGATGGGAGAACCTTCCAGCAGGACAACCATCTCTGCAGCACTCCACCAATCAGGCCTTTATGGCAGAGTGGCCAGATGGAAGCCGCTCCTCAGTAAAAGGCACATGACAGCCCGCTTGGAGTTTGCCAAAAGGCACCTAAAGACTCTCAGACCATGACAAACAAGATTCTCTGGTCTGATGAAACCAAGATTGTACTCTTCGGCCTGAATGCCAAGCGTCACGTCCGGAGGAAACCTGGCACCATCACTACGGTGAAGCATTGTGGTGGCAGCATCACGCTGTGGGGATGTTTTTCAGTGGCAGGGACTGGGAGACTAGTCAGTATTGAGGGAAAGATGAACGGAGCAAAGTACAGAGCGATTCTTTATGAAAATCTGCTCCAGAGCACTCAGGACCTCAGACTACGGCGAAGGTTCACCTTCCAACAGGTCAACAACCCTAAGCACACAGCCAAGACAACACAGGAGTGGCTTCGGGACAAGTCTCTGAATGTCCTTGAGTGGCCCAGCCAGAGCCCGGACTTGAACCCGATCGAACATCTCTAGAGAGACCTGAAAATAGCTGTTCAGTAACGCTCCCCATCCAACCTGACAGAGCTTGAAAGGATCTGCAGTGAAGAATGGGAGATACTCCCAAAATTCAGGTGTGCCAAGCTTGTAGCATCATACCCAAGAAGACTCGAGGCTGTAATCGCTGCCAAAGGTGTTTCTACAAAGTACTAAGTACTTAAGTAAATGTGATATTCCAGTCTTTGTTTCCCCCAACAATTTCAAAAAACTGTTTTTGCTTTGCTATTATGGTGTATTGCGTGTAGATTGATGAGGAAATAAACAATTTAATCAATTTTAGAATAAGGCTGTAACCTAACAAAATGTGGAAAAAGTCTGAATACTTTCCGAAGGCACTATGTTGAATGAGCAACTAATGAGCACTGAGAGTTTGACAAAACTACCTTATATTTTTTGTCTAATACGGCTATTTACTAACTTTTGTAGCTCTTCGTTAGACACACGCTTTTTTTAAAGTACCGGTAGGTAACTGTCCTCTCCAAGTTTAGCTGGAATTTAGCCCGGGAAATATTTGCCAAATGTGATTGGTTGAATATATGACATTGGCCTACGTCTCTTCTTGCGCTGCTCCAAATATCAGATCTCAACAACATTGAAGAAGTGTTAAAAGCATCAATCAGCAGCGGGAAAAAGTTGAGGGATAGGGCTGGAGAAATTTAACCACTCTCAAATTCATAGACAGCTATGCAAAGACTGACCATCCATGATATCAAAATTATAGTTTGAACCATGTTTTGAGGCTATACATTTACTTTGTTTACAAACATTGGAGTAAAACAAGCTTATATTTGAGGTTCTGATGGGGTACTACAGTTCACCTAAGCTCATGGGGGATTTCGAAGTTATATTCTTTAAAAAATCAATGGGTACATATCATTAATTAAGTCCAAGAATTGGATGTAGCTACTGCAGATTTCCCCTTTAACATCACCAGCACCACATCCTTATGATATAATATATTGCCATAAGGGCAACGTGACTGCAAAAGAGACAGGTTGGAATGTCAATTCTCATCAAATTAATAGTTAGTCAATGAAATACGTGACAAATCGACCTTTTTTTCTAAATTAGTAGTGTTTTAATTTGTTGATTAAATGAGGGACATGATTGTTTGGTTGCTGGACGTGGGACAAAGGGCAAAAATGAGGGACTGTCCCGCACAATCCGGGACATGTAGTTACCCTTGTGCTGGGGCGAACAGCGGCACTGTACCCTTAATGCGGATTTGATCTTTAACTCAATGCATGGAAAAGTATAAGTTCCACCTACGTTACACTCAGCAATGGAAAGGCCCAGTTGTATAAGTGCAGTGTAATATAGTACAGTACAGAAGGCCTACCTTCATGGCACTTTCCACAGCATATCCCGTTAATGCGGTAATGACTCCCCTCATGGCATAGCGACTCCTGGTTTCCATGGTTACTCTCAACCTGGGTCCTATCAGGAGGTGGTGGTGGTGCCGAGAGGGAGGGGTCTACTGACCAGCACTGCAACATTATATTACATTACCTTGTTGTTATAGAACAGAACCAATCAAATACCAGTCATATGTAATTAAAGAAAATATTGTATAACTGATTGATAGGCTACTGTATAGGCCTATTCCTGAAATGAGATTGACTAATTTATTTACTGATTGAATAATTTATTAACACTCAATTGATTGGTGTGAATAATTGATAAATTTGATGGATTGGTGGAGGTTGATTGATTTGACTGATGTATTGCTGAGAGATAAGTAAGACTAGATGGGGCATTATGTTTTTGGTATAGGACTCGGCATTACGCATCTGTTCATGTTAAAGTTTCTCACCAATACGAGCAGAGTGCAAACGTTCAGAATGCATTTTTCCTTCCATTTCCCTCTCAAGATGTCCATTCTTTCACACCACTCTTCTCACTAACGCCATCTTTAAAAAGAACAACACCTGCAGAAAGAAGAGGTGGGCTACCAGGTGTGACAAAACTCTCTTCATAATGCTTTCACTCATTAGGCCTACTTGATCATTTAACTTGACCTTTTTTCTAGTGCAAAGAAAATGTTGTCAATATCAATCAGTAGTTCGCTGTGCAAAAATAACTTGTTTACTGCCATGTCTAGGCTATAAGATATGAACTTTGTATGATTTAAAATGCATAGCCTAGCTATAACGTAAGTCCCGGAAAATAATTTCCCTAGCCTATCGGGCCTCGGCTATACATTTGTCGAGGGTAAATTATTTTCCAGACCTTAAGTTATAGCTAGGCTATACATTGTAAATCATACAAAGTTCATATCTAGTTCAATAATAAACTTTGCTAAAGCTACAATAAAAACCGAGAAAACGTATTTAGTTTCGATTTCACTGTAGCCTACGCCCACTGTTTTAGCCGCAATGTCCGATATCAATCTCTTTTCCGAAAACGACAGGCGGAGAGTTACCGCCACTTACCTTGATCAAAACCGCTCCTACATGACAAATGACGATGCAGTAGGGTCTCCTACATTAAAATCAAATCTGTAGTAAGAGTTCAAGAAATACTTTCAAGTCTCAAAAAAGACGCCGATGTATTAAGTCGCCAGTTCTAGAGAAAGGGCGGACTCAAACGGGAAACTGGACACGTCATGCTCCGTAAGTCATTGCCCCGCTGCACCCAGGCTTCAAGGAAGTCTGAATTGCAGGGCATGATACAGGTTACACAATAGGTATGATGATAAAGGATTATTTTACTCGATTGAGCTATAGCAGGCTGTGTGCCTAGGGGTCACGAGACATTTCCCAAGTGTATACAAAAACAACAATTGAAGCATCTGCAGGGTGCTAGGGGGGTTGTTTCTGAATCGTGATGTAGCATAATGCTAAAAACAAATTCCCCCTCTGCCTATTGGAGCAACAGGTGAGAGGGGGGGTATGCATCACTACGGCAAGGGAAATATAGTATTCTTTCTAACAAATATATCTACGTACAGTACCAGTCAAAAGTTTGGACACACCTACTCATTCAAGGGTTTTTCTTAATTTTTACTATTTTCTACATTGTAGAATAATAGTGAAGATATCAAAACTATGAAATAACACATGGAATCATGTAATAACCAAAAAAGTTTTAAACAAATCAAAATATATTTTAGATTCTTCAAAGTAGCCACCCTTTACCTTGATGACAGCTTTGCACACTCTTGGCATTCTCTCAACCAGCTTCACCTGGAATGCTTCTCCAACAGTCTTGAAAGAGTTCCCACATATGCTGAGCACTTGTTGGCTGCTTTTCCTTCACTCTGCGGTCCAACTCATCCCAAACCATCTCAAGTGGGTTGAGGTCGGGTGATTGTGGAGGCCAGGTCATCTGCTGCAGCACTCCATCACTCTCCATCTTGGTCAAATAGCCCTTACACAGCCTGGAGGTGTGTTGGGTCATTGTCCTGTTGAAAAACAAAAGATAGTCCCACTAAGCGCAAACCAGATGGGATGGCGTATTGCTGCAGAATGCTGTGGTAGCCATGCTGGTTAAGTGTGCATTGAATTCTAAATAAATCACAGAGACTGTGTCACCAGCAAAGCACCATCACACCTCCTCCTCCATGCTTCACGGTGGGAACCACACATGCAGAGATAATCCGTTCACCTACTCTGCGTCTCACAAAGACATGGCGGTTGGAACCAAAAATCTCAAATTTGGACTCATCAGACCAAAGGACAGATTTCCACCAGTCTAATGTCCATTGTTCGTGTTTCTTGGCCCAAGCAAGTCTCTTCTTCTTATTGGTGTCCTTTAGTAGTGGTTGCTTTGCGGCAATTCAACAATGAAGGCCTGATTCACGCAGTCTCCTCCTAACAGTTGATGTTGAGATGTGACTGTTACTTGAACTTTGTGAAGCATTTATTTGGGCTGCAATCTGAGGCTGGTAACTCTAATGAACATATCCTCTGTAGCAGAGGTAACTCTGGGTCTTCCTTTCCTGTGGCAGTCCTCATGAGAGTCAGTTTCATCATAGCACTTGATGGTTTTTGCGATTGCACTTGAAGAAACTTTAAAGGTTCTTGAAATTCTCCGGATTGACTGACCTTCATGTCTTAAAGTAATGATGAACTGTCATTTCTCTTTGCTTATTTGAGCTGTTCTTGCCATAATATGGTCTTTTACCAAATAGGGTTATCTTCTGTATACCACCCCTACCTTGTCACAACACAACTGATTGGCTCAAATGCATTAAAAAGGAAAGAAATTCCACAAATTAACTTTTAACAAGGCACACCTGTTAATTGAAATGCATTCCAGGTGACTACCTCATGAAGCTGGTTGAGAGAATGCCAAGAGTGTGCAAAGCTGTCATCAAGGCAAAGGGTGGCTAATATATTTTGATTTGTTTAACATTTTATCTGGTTACCACATGATTCCATATGTGCTATTTCATAGTTTTTATGTCTTCACTGTTATTCTACAATGTAGAAAATAGTTTTAAAAAATAAGAAAAACCCTGGAATGAGTAGGAGTGTCCAAACTTTTGACTGGTACTGTATATTTCAGGAAGTTGTGTATCCCTGGAAATAATCAGAATTCATGTAAACATAACACTTTTTCAAACATAGCTTGTCTCTTGGCACAATTTACCTGGGTATGGGGTAAATTGAGCATAGGGACAGGGTAGCCTAAGCATTTCTAACTGTACTTTTTAAAACATTTACATTTAACATAGGCTCAGGCCCTGGTGTAACCTCATATCCCAGCAATAAGGCCTTGTATTACACCTGGGAAGAAAACACCAATTGTGGCCAAGAGGGGCGCGAACTCAACTGAGAAAGACATTGTTCATCTTTTAAACTTGACTAATCCCTCAAATGCGAGGTGTCTTCAAAATACTATTCATATTATGCATAAAACGTACAAAATGTAATCATCATTTGTATGGGGTGTATTGATTAGCCATTGGCTCAACTTGCCCCTCGCCAAATCAGAATCACCTTTATTCGCCAAGTACATTTACACATACTCAGAATTTTACTTGGTGATATGGTGCTGCTAGTGATAGACAACATTTAGAAACAGAATACAGACCGCAGAGTTTAAACAAAGTTTACATACTGTCACGGATTCAGCCGAGGCTGCTCCTCCTCCTTGCTCGGGCAGGCCTCGGCGTTCGTCGTCCCCGGAGTACTAGCTGCTACCGATCTATGTTTCGGTGTTTGTCTTGTTTGGTCTTTATTGTTTACACCTGTTTCCCATTATGTTATATTGTATTCCCTTTATAGCCCTCTGTCTCTCATTGTGTTTTGTGCGTGATTGTTTTTCGTTAGGTCGGCAGTTGCTATTGTGTGCGGGTTATTGTACCTCCCTGTTAGGAGGTTTGTGTTGTACTTTGATTACTGTGTCAGTAAAGTACGTTGCCAGTAGCTCGGTGTCCTGCTCTTGACTTCACTTACCGCATACACGTCGCTCTGACAGAATCACGCACCCAAGATATGGAGTCAGCAGGAGCGGCGGTGCCAGCTGGATCAATGGAGGAACGCGTAGAACAACAAGCGGCCATGATCCAGGCTCTCGGCACCGCCATGGAACGGGTGGTGAGCACAATGGAGCGATGGGAAAGAGGAGGTCTGCCTACACCTCCTCCGACGATACCACCACCATCGGCGATGCCCATCGCTTCACCTCCGGGGTCCAGTGGGATTCGGCTCTCGCTCCCGAGGGCTTATGATGGCACAGCTGCCGGGTGTCAGGGTTTCCTGCTCCAGGTCGAACTCTACCTGGCAACCATCCACCCGGTGCCCTCGGGATACGAGAGCGTGTCCGCCCTCATCTCCTGTCTGTCCGGCAAGGCGCTGGAGTGGGCCAACGCCGAGTGGGGGGGAATAGACGCCGCTACTGTCAACTGTGCAGAGTTCACCCGCCGCTTCAGGGCAGTATTCGATCATCCACCGGAGGGTAAAGCGGCGGGTGAGCGTCTATTCCACCTCAGACAGGGGAGGAGGAGCGCGCAGGAGTTCGCCCTGGACTTCCGGACGCTGGCTGCCAACGCGGGATGGAATGAGAGGGCCCTCAGCGACCACTACAGATGTAGCCTGAGGGAGGACGTGCGTCGGGAATTGGCCTGCAGGGACACCAACCTTCGACCAACTGGTGGACATGTCGATTCGCCTGGATACCCTGTTGGCTACCCGCGGACGTCCGGATTCGTCCATTCCATCCCCCAGCACTTCCGAGCCGACCCCTATGGAGCTCGGAGGTGCTGGCACTAGGGAAACCAGGAGAGAGACCAGGAGAGAGGCCGTCCCCTGCACCAACTGTGGCCGCAGAGGACACACTGCTGGTCGGTGCTGGGGAGGGTCTCCTAGGAATCGAGGCAGTAGGCAGCGCACTGATGAGTCATTCCAGGTGAGTAGGCACCCAACTCACCCAGAGCTCCCTGTTGCGCATATGTGTATTAAAGTTGTGTTTCCCAAGGTTTCTCCTCATTCCCAGCATAAAGCGCTAGTAGATTCAGGTGCAGCTGGGAATTTTATCGATCGCCAGTTCACCTATAAGTTAGGGATTCCTATTGTTCCAGTTGATGTGCCCTTCCCTATCCATGCCCTAGATAGCCGCCCTTTAGGGTCAGGGTTGATTAGAGAGGTCACAGCACCTTTCAGGATGAAAACGCAGGAGGGCCATGAGGTGATAATTTGTTTGTATTTGATTGATTCTCCTGCGTTTCCCGTTGTGTTGGGGCTTCCCTGGTTAACATCTCATGACCCCAACATTTTATGGCAACAGAGGGCTCTCAAGGGATGGTCTGATCAGTGTTTCGGGAGGTGTGTAGGTGTTTCCGTAGGGGCAACGACGGTGGAAAGTCCGAACCAAGTTCCCACCATGCACATTCCACCTGAATATGCCAATTTGGCACTCGCCTTCTGGCGACTCAATTTCCACCCCATCGACAGGGGGATTGTGCGATAAACCTCCAAGTAGGCGCTGCGCTTCCTCGGAGTCATGTGTATCCTCTGTCTCAGGAGGACACGGCGGCTATGGAGACATATGTCACCGAATCTCTGAGACAGGGTTACATACGGCCGTCCACTTCCCCTGCGTCATCGAGTTTCTTTTTTGTGAAGAAGAAGGATGGGGGTTTACGCCCGTGTATTGACTACCGTGGTCTCAATCAGATCACAATCAAATACAGCTATCCTCTCCCTCTGATTGCTAGTATGACGGAGTCATTACACGGGGAGCGATTCTTCACAAAATTGGATCTCAGGAGCGCGTACAACCTGGTGCACATTAGGGAGGGAGATGAGTGGAAGACAGCATTCAGTACCACCTCGGGTCACTATGAGTACCTCGTCATGCCATACGGTTTAATGAATGCTCCTTCAGTCTTCCAATCGTTTGTGGATGAGATTTTCCGGGACTTGCATGGACAGGGTGTAGTGGTGTATATTGATGACATTCTAATATACTCCGCTACACGAGCCGAGCATGTGTCCCTGGTTCGTCGGGTGCTTGGTAGACTGTTGGAGCATGACCTGTATGTGAAGGCGGAGAAATATCTGTTCTTCCAGGAGTCCATCTCCTTCCTGGGACACCGGTTGTCCGCGTCAGGGGTGGAGATGGAGATTGACCGTGTTTCAGCCGTGCGCAATTGGCAGACTCCCACCACGGTGAAGGAGGTGCAGCGGTTCTTGGGTTTTTCCAATTACTACCGGAGGTTTATCCGGGGCTTTGGGCAGGTAGCAGCTCCCATTACCTCCCTGCTAAAGGGGGGTCCGGTGCGTCTGCAGTGGTCGGCTGAGGCGGACAGGGCTTTTAGGCATCTGAAGGACCTGTTTATCTCGGCTCCGGTGCTGGCACATCTGGATCCCTCTTTGGCGTTCCAAGTTGAAGTGGATGCGTCCGAGGCTGGGATCGGTGCTGTACTGTCTCAGCGCTCGGGTATGCCACCTAAACTCCGCCCCTGTGCTTTCTTTTCTAAGAAGCTCAGTCCGGCGGAGCGCAATTATGACGTGGGGGACAGGGAGCTGTTAGCTGTGGTTCAAGCCCTGAAGGTGTGGAGGCATTGGCTTGAGGGGGCTAAACACCCTTTTCTCATTTTGACTGACCATCGTAACCTGGAGTACATCCGGGCGGCGAGGAGGCTGAACCCTCGCCAGGCAAGGTGGGCTATGTTTTTCACCCGATTTGTATTTACGCTCACCTATAGACCAGGGTCACAGAATGCTAAGGCAGATGCCCTGTCCCGACTATATGACACAGAGGAGAGGTCCATTGAGCCCACTCCCATACTTCCGGAGTCTTGTCTGGTGGCACCGGTGGTATGGAAGGTTGATGCGGACATCGAGCGGGCGTTACGTACCGATCCTACTCCCCCACAGTGTCCAGAGGGTCGGAAGTACGTGCCGCTCGAGGTTCGTGATCGATTGATATATTGGGCTCACATGTCACCCTCCTCTGGTCATCCGGGTCAGACCGTGCACTGCCTTAGTGGGAAGTACTGGTGGCCCACTTTAGCTAAGGACGTGAGGGTTTATGTTTCCTCCTGCTCGGTGTGCGCCCAGTGTAAGGTGCCTAGACACCTGCCCAGAGGGAAGTTACAACCCCTACCCATTCCACAACGGCCGTGGTCTCACCTATCGGTGGATTTTGTCACGGACCTTCCCCCCTCCCAGGGGAACACGACGATCTTGGTCGTTGTGGATCGGTTTTCGAAGGCCTGCCGTCTCATTCCTATGCCAGGTCTCCCTACAGCCCTACAAACTGCTGACGCTCTGTTTACACACGTCTTCTGGCACTACGGGGTACCTGGGGATATAGTGTCTGATCGGGGTCCCCAGTTCACCTCTAGAGTCTGGAGGGCGTTTATGGAACGTCTGGGGGTCTCAATTAGCCTTACCTCAGGTTTTCACAGCGAGAGTTATGGGCAGGTGGAGAGAGTGAACCAGGATGTGGGTAGGTTTCTGAGGTCCTATTGCCAGGACCGGCAGGGGGAGTGGTCGGGATATATCCCCTGGGCAGAGATAGCCCAAAACTCACTCCGCCACTCCTCAACTAACCTTACGCCTTTTCAGTGTGTGCTAGGTTATCAGCCGGTCCTGGCACCTTGGCATCAGAGCCAGATCGAAGCCCCTGCGGTGGACGAGTGGTTTCGGCGCTCGGAAGAAACCTGGAACACTGCGCATATCCATCTGCAGCGGGCTATCAGGCGGCAAAAGGCGAGCGCCGATCGCCACCGCAGTGAGGCTCTGGTGTATGCACCGGGAGATCGGGTCTGGCTCTCGACCCGAAACCTGCCCCTTCGCCTGCCCTGCCGGAAGCTGGGTCGGCGGTTTGTGGGGCCATTTAAAGTCCTGAGGAGATTGAACGAGGTATGTTATAGGTTACAACTGCCCATTAGTTACCGCATTAACCCCTCGTTCCATGTGTCTCTCCTCAGGCCGGTAGTAGCTGGTCCACTCCAGGAGAGTGAGGTACGAGAGGCTCCTCCGCCCCCACTGGACATCGAGGGGGCTCCGGCGTACTCAGTCCGTTCCATCGTGGATTCGAGGCGTCGGATGGGGGGCCTGCAGTATCTCGTGGAGTGGGAGGGGTATGGTCCGGAGGAACGGTATTGGGTCCCTAGGAGGGACATCCTAGATCCCTCCATGTTGAGGGATTTCCACCGGAGTCATCCGACCTGCCCTGCTCCGCGTCCTCCTGGCTGTCCCCAAGGCCGGGGTCGGCGCACGGCTGGGGCCGCGCGTCAAGGGGGGGGGGGGTACTGTCACGGATTCAGCCGAGGCTGCTCCTCCTCCTTGCTCGGGCAGGCTTCGGCGTTTGTCGTCCCCGGAGTACTAGCTGCTACCGATCTATGTTTCGGTGTTTGTCTTGTTTGGTCTTTATTGTTTACACCTGTTTCCCATTATGTTATATTGTATTCCCTTTATAGCCCTCTGTCTCTCATTGTGTTTTGTGCGTGATTGTTTTTCGTTAGGTCGGCAGTTGCTATTGTGTGCGGGTTATTGTTCCTCCCTGTTAGGAGTTATGTGTTGTACTTTGATTACTGTGTCAGTAAAGTACGTTGCCAGTAGCTCGGTGTCCTGCTCTTGACTTCGCTTACCGCATACACGTCGCTCTGACACATACATTATATATACACAATAATAATGGTGCAATTTACCCCAAAGAAACCATTTTGACTATATTAGCCCACACAGCTACAAGGGTGCACTTTCATGCTAGGTTCAGGACCTCATATTGTATCTTATAGAGACCCCAACTGATGTATAAAACCAGTGGAGGCTGCTGAGGGGAGGACGGCTCATAATAATGTCTGGAACGGAGCGAATGGAATACTCTTTTTTTAAACCATGTGTTTGATGTAGATGATACTATTCCACTTATTCCAGTCCAGCTGTTACCACGAGCCCGTCTTCCCCAATTAAGGTGCCACCAACCTCCTGTGTATAAAACCGTTTTTAAATTATCTACGTTGGTTTATGAAACCTACAACTAGCATCATGAAACCTATAACACAAATGTATTTGACTTTGTGAAAATCAGTTTTTTGGACATAACTTGCTTGTAGCTTTTTCCATGTGGTTTCTTCCTTCACAGACTCTATGAAATGATGACCACTTCCTAAATATTTGGTCAAATTATCAATTTTTTGTATGGTTTCCAAGAACAACTAACCCATTGGCTCAATTTACCCCTATAGATATTTAGATTATAAATATGCCTTATCTTTCTGTTACCTGTGTTTATCTGATTGTTCAGCAGTGCAGTGAGAAGTACTTCCTTTCTTCAGAACCTACTTCCTTTCTTCAGAGCCCACGTCCTTCTCAAAGCTTCACAGCTCTCACCAGCCTTATCCATTTCTCTATCTCTCTCTATCTATCTCTCCCAATCTCTCTCTCTCTCACACACGCACACGCACACACACATAAGCCCATCAAGGGTCAGTGCCAATTAGGACTGACAATTTCACTGTTGCGACCTTATTTCACCTGATAGTGTCATACTCCCAACAGTGTGCGTGAACTCCTCTACTGGCTGTTCTACACTGAACAAAAATATAAACGCAACATGCAACAATTCCATTCATTACAGTTCATATAAGGAAATCAATCAATTAAAATATTCATTAGGCCCTGATCTATAGATTTCACATGACAGTATCTGGTGTGACCACCATTTGCCTCATACAGCGTGACACATCTTCTTCGCATAGAGTTGATCAGGCTGTTGATTGTGGCCTGTGGAATGTTGTCCCACTCCTCTTCAATGGCTGTGCGAAGTTTCTGGATATTGGCTGGAACTGGCACACACTGTTGTACACGTTGATCCAGAGCATCCCAAACGTGCTCAATGGGTGACATGTCTGGTGAGTTTGCAGGCCATGGAAGAACTGGGACATTTTCAGTTTCCAGGAATTGTGTACAGATCCTTGTGACATAGGGCCTTGCATTATCATGCTGAAACATAAGGTGATGGCGGCGGATAAATGGTAAGACAATGGGCCTCAGGATCTCATCACGGTATCTCTGTGTATTCAAATTGCCATCGATAAAATGCAGTTGTGTTCATTGTCCGTAGCTTATGCCTTCCCATACCATAACCCCACTGCCACAATGGGGCACTCTGTTCACAACGTTGACATCTGCAAACCGCTCGCTCACACGACGCCATACACGCTGTCTGCCATCTGCCCGGTACAGTTGAAACCGGGATTAATCCGTGAAGAGCACACTTTTCCAGCGTGCCAGTGGCAATCGAAGGTGAGCATTTGCCCACTGAAGTCGGTTACGACGCCAAACTGCAGTCAGGTCAAGACCCTGGTGAAGACAACAAGCATGCAGATGAGCTTCCCTGAGACGGTTTCTGACAATTTGTTCAGAAATTCTTCAGTTGTGCAAACCCACAGTTTCATCAGCTGTCCGGATGGCTGGTCTCAGACGATCCCGCAGGTGAAGAAGCCGGATGTGGAGGTCCTGGGCTGGCGTGGTTACATGTGGTCTGCGGTTGTGAGGTGGTTGGATGTACTGTCAAATTCTCTAAAACAATGTTGGAGGCAGCTTATGGTAGAGAAATTAACATTACATTCTCTGGCAACAGCTCTGATTGACATTCCTGCAGTCAGCATGCCAATTGCACACTCCCTCAAAACTTGAGACATCTGTGGCATTGTGCTGTGTGACAAAACTGCACATTTTAGAGTGGCCTTTTATTGTCCCAAGCACAAGATGCACCTGTTTAATCAGCTTCTTGATATGCCACACCTGTCAGGTGGATGGATTATTTTGGCAAAGAAGAAATGCTCACTAACAGGGATGTAAACAAATTTGTGCAGATAATCTGAGCGAAAGACGCTTTTTGTGCGGATGAAAAATTTCGGGGATATTTTTATTTCAGCTCATGGAACATGGAACCAACACTTTATATTTTGCGTTTATATTTTTGTTCAGTCTAGTTACAACACAATTACTTAGTTTTAATTTAATTAATTAGTATTGAGAGATGCACCATCCAACAGTAAAGACTGCTGGAGTGTAGTCGCAGCATGTGCATGCCCTCTAGAGCCTCTTCTGTGTACTAGGTGTCATCCAACTACAGTACATCATCAAGAAAATAAATGTAACCTTCAGCCAATGGTAAACATATAATAAGAAAACGCTGGCGGGAACATTAATGAGAATCAGTCATTAGTTTTTTTGGTTATCAACTGTTTATTGTTTCTGCAGACTGTGTCTCAGCCCAGTCATTTCTGTTTGTTACAGTAATCTGTGTATGCTGTATGAGTAGTGCCTGCTCAGAGGCCTGAGGTGAAGGTGGAGCGAGATGTGTAGAGGGTCGTCCCTGCTGCTGTTCCCTGGGCTGTGACAGTTCACCCAGGGTCATGTGATGTGGCTGGCTTCTGTGAAAATCGAGGTTGAGCTGAGAAGGAGCAGACCAGAGAGTCAATGAAACCACGTGACCTCTGACTGACTGAGAGAGACACGGCTGCATATGGTTGAACCACACACACACACACACCACACAAGCGCACACACATGCACGAGACACGCGCACGCACACACACACACACACACACACACACACACACACACACACACACACACACACACACTAAACATGATAGGCTAAATATGACATTCAGTTAACCCACAGGAGTCAATGTAGCTCAAAAGATCTGTTGTGTACATGTCAGTAAAGAATGTCATAATGTCATTTCTCTCAGTCTGATCTGAGTATGGATTGACTGGACGGTTTATTTAAATATTTACGGCTGCTGCTTACAGTGAAGAAAATGACTGGTCCTAAGATGAGTGTAATGTAGTCATATTCACTTTGAAATTACCTTGTCATGAAAGCAACAGAGCGAGGGTGAGAGAGACAGACGGACATAAGAGTGTCTTAAAGATTGTTTTGGATCCTAATATCACAGTTTTTGATGAAACGAGAGAGACAGACATACGGCAGTGGAAAGAAAGGGGGAGGAAGAGGGTAAGTTTAGGGTTTTAAGCGGCATGGTGGTTCAGAGTGAACTAGGGGGGTCGTCAGAGAGATAGAGAAAGGAGTCTTTTGAAATGGCAGTTTCCCTTATGACTCATCTTTTGAATAATACTCTGCCACACTCTGATCCCCAGTTCAGTCACACAGTCAGAGGGTCCAGGGTCACATCTATCTCATTCTCTCATCCTCTCTGAGACACGGTAAGTCAGGCTCTACACTTCCTTACCGAAACAAGTTTTGTTCAGGTTTGTCGTTAGAGTCCTGGGCTTGTTTGTTGTATCTATAATGGCATACAGTTGGACGTGTTTGTGTCATTGGTTTTGGTACCGCTTAGTTTTGAACTGTCAGCATGTAGATGTTTTGTCTGGAGTCTGTATCATGTATTCTACTTTAGGTGGTCTCCTGTTTGTCATGTCCTTGAAAAACTGTCTCTTATAGCTAGTGTTAGGGGCCTACGATAATGTCCTGCCATTGCAATGCTTTATCTCTTGATAATATATTGTTGGATGATATCTTTATGAATGCGGTATACACTGAGTGTACAAAACATTAGGAACACCTGCTCTTGACATAGACTGACCAAGTAAGTCCAGGTGAAAGCTATGATCCCTTATTGATGTCACATGTTATATCCACTTCAATCAGTATAGATGAAGGGGAGGAGACAGGTTACAGAAGGATTTTGAATCCTTGAGACAATTGAGACATGGATTGTGTATGTGTGCCATTTAGAGGGTGAATGGGCCAGACAAAATATTTAAGTGCCTTTGAATGGGGTATGGTAGTAGGTGCCAGGCACACCGATTTGAGTGTGTCAAGAACTACAACGCTGCTGGGTTTTTCAAACTCAACAGTTTCCGGTGTGTATCAAGAATGGTCCACCACCCAAAGGACATCCAGCGAACTTGACACAACTGTGGGAAGCATTGGAGTCAACATGGGCCAGCATCCCTGTGGAACGCTTTCGACACCTTGTAGAGTTCATGCCATGATGAATTAAGACTATTCTGAGGGCATAAGTGGGTGCAACTCAATATTAGGGAGGTGTTCCTAATGTTTTGTACACTTAGTGTATGTCAATGTTCTGAAGGTCTTGTAAAATGTCTGTTAAATATTGACTGTCTTCCTCTTTTCTCTTCATCCCTCTCAGATGTATCTCTTCTGGTGGATCACCCACATCTTTCTATCCCTCCCTTCTCTCCTCTCTCTGGTCCAATCCCTCACGTGCAACAAGGAGACACAGTATGCTTGGCCACAGTCAGTAAGCCAATGGTGCTGCAACAAGTGTCCACCAGGTAAGCCATTCGAAAAATACTTTTATCAGGTGTATGTGTGTGTGTGTGTGTATGTGTGTGTAATTTACTGTGTTGCTCTTTGCAGGTCAGTATATGGTGAGACGCTGCACTGGTCAGAACAGCCCAACCCAGTGTGATGACTGCAGCAACGGCTACTACTCAGACAGCTACAACATCGACAGCAGCTGCAAATCCTGCAATGGCTGCAGCATGAGTGGTGAGTGTGAGTGTGAGTGTGTGTGTGTGTGTGTGTGTGTGTCTACACATCTACACATTTCCACCAACCTATGATTGGCACTGATGCTGGTCTTGTCTGGCTGTCTAAAACTGTTACTCACCTGTTTTTCTAAGTCATAGTTATGAAGGACTTTGCACATGAAAACACATAGCCTGCTAGGGATTTCCCCCTTCACTGTACCATGGTGGGACACAGTCAGAGAGAGAGGGGCAATGGGAGGGGCCACTGAGAAACACTGACTCACCCACCCAGGAGGAGAGGAGGGTTGGGGGGCCTGGAGGGCAGAAGGGAGGCATGTCTACCAAGTAATGTCAAGGATATCAGTGGTGATGGGGGGGATAGTGGGAGGGGTTAGTGGTAGACAGATAGATACCATCTCACCGGTGGAAATAACCTTTTTACTTTAGAGATAAACATCGGAAAGTGCAGCAAACAGAAATTCATATTTTCATTATATGTTGTCATTGTCACGCCCTGGCTCTGGGACTCTGTTATGTTGAGCCAGGGTGTGTGGTTTCTATGTGTTTTGTGTGCTAGGGTGATTATCTAGTTCATTTGTTTCTATGTTGGCCGGTGTGGTTCTCAATCAGAGGCAACGTGTATCAGCTGTTGCTTGTTGTCTCTGATTGGGAACCATACTTAGGCAGCCTGTTTTTCACAGTGTGTTGTGGGATCTTGTTCCGTGTATGGTTTGTGTAGGTAACCAAGGACTTCACGTTATCGTTTTGTTGTTTTGTTTCGTGTGGTGAAATAAATAAAGTATGGTCCACTTCCTCCAACGATCGTGACAGTCATCGAGTGTGGCGGGGACCAAAAACAGAGACTATCTAACTATTTTTAAATATCAACCTGCAAACAGAGGGAAAACACAGAGGTGGGAGAGGTTTGAGAGTAGCCACAAACTCACGGTGAACACATGTTTTAACTGTCAATCACTCTAGTGAAATGGCTGCTGTGTGTGTGTGTGTGTGTGTGTGTGAGAGAGAGAAGGGTGGGGTCAGACGGTAATATACACTTCAGTTCGTTGTGAGTCAAAACCTGATTCAACAAGGTCCTATGAGTCATTTTGAAGATGAGATTTTCTCATATTCAGGCATGATTTTAGGTTGTGTGTTTGACTACATGAATCAAACAGTATGTCAAAGTCAGTATACATGAAGGCACACAAACGAATAGTCCACTAATGAGTTGTGTTCCTGTGTGTTATGTTACAGAGCTGCAGCATGTATCTCACTGTTCGAAAAAGAGTAATGATGTGTGCAGCTGTAAACTAGGCTACCGCTGCAGAGGCAGTGGCACGTGTCTGGACTGTGAGAAGAACCCCAGCCCGACCAGAACCAAACACATAATAACACCTCCCATCATGCCAGCTACAGTGTCAAACCACTCGGTGCCTGACATCCCTAACGATAGAGCTGAACCTGTCACCGAACCTGGTACTGGGCCCAACACAAAACCAAACCAAGGTAAACTACAATACAATACAATGGATACAAATGATGAAAATGTTCAAAGTTACATGTAAAAATGCCATGAGAGCCAAACAGAAATTAGTCCTCTCTCTCAGAAAGGTGTTCATGTGTACGGCCCTGACCCCTCTCTCTCTCTCTCTCCACTCCCCTCTCTCATACACGCACAAACAGATGATAGCAAGTGGCTCCCGGTGTGCGTGACTGCAGTGTGTGTGTGTGTACTGCTCACCTGCCTTGTTGCCATCTCAAAGCTCAAACCTGTTCTGCGATGGATTGGTTCAACAAACAGTAAGTCCACGTCACTGTTCATCTGTCCTGTAGTTCTATTGAACACAATACATATGCACGCACATTTGACCTAACCCTCATCTTATTGGTCCATCAGGCTTCTGGTCTTCCAAAAAGATGACTCCAGCCAATCAGAGCACAGCGGAAGAGAAAGTGCCTATGCCGGTCCAGGAAGTGTGTGGAAAGCCAGAGCTGCTACTGGACGTATGATGGAGGAAGTGGGTGTCGAAGGAGAGGATGAGACCTCACAATGGGACAGCGAGCTGGGAGACCCGAGAGACAAACAGACTACCTCACATTCCCATTGATGTGAAGCCAACCTTAAGGCTAGACAGGCTGCTGTATTGTTGTTATGCAGTGGCTTCTGTATCTAGGGCTTTCAGAGAGGACAAGAAAATAGGACAAAAGACACTTTGAAGTATGAAGACACAGGCTAAAGATGAGAGGGGGGGGGTGTATGTGAACGAGAGAGACAGAGAGAGACAGACACGTACACATGCGCACGCACGAATGCACACACACACACAATCATTTGTGTGCTGAATACATGTACAGTACATGTTTATGTTGAAGATGTTTTACACCTTCGTTACAATTATGCTTTTTGCTGTATCTATGCTTTATGCTAGTGTATACTCTTACATAGTAGTGGTTGTTTAAAACATACAGTGCTGTATTTTCAATAAAGAACAGAATCACAAATGTTACCGGGCTACTGTAATTTCATACAATTACCCCATCACCTGTATTAATAGAAACATTTGCTTTTAATTTGTGCAAAAACAGTTCAACGTGCCTCATGAACACAGAGAAAAACAGGTAGCAACAGTTGAGACTGAAAGATTATTATACAGTACAATAACAGGAGAGCAAGTGCATGTGAGCATGACCACCATGGTGAGATATCTAACTCTATCTAGGTCTAGGTCAGAAAATAATGTACATTCTAGAGTTTTGGGATTCACCTGTGTTCTTCTGAGAGTAAGGGCTCTATTAAATCCATATTGCAGAAGTTCAGCGTTACAGCTTGATGGAAATGTAAAGGCAATGTTCCCGCGTTAGGGGAGACTACATTCACGGTAAACGCTGTATATGTCGGCTCAATCAGAAATGACCTTACCTTTACATTCCTATAGCTCAATCTGTAACGCTTCAGTGATACAGATTGAATAGAGCCCCAGGTAGATGTTGTCCCTTACCACTGATCCAGGGTCAGACCAGTCTTAATCCTCCTTATGATTAACATTAGGATGTAGGGTTGGCTAAACTGATCCTAGAAGGGAAGCTTTCACTTGGAGTGTCCTCTGATCTCAATCCCCCTCCCCTCATAGCACCTCCTCTTTGGAAATGTGACTGTCCTTCCCTTGTTCCTGTGAAGGGAAGAATACACAGTCCATCTCTCCATTCCTCTCCTCCTGGGATAGATGGATGTTAGGGGAGGGTGTGGGGTGGGCCGGACATCCTTCTCCTTCCTCATCCCTCTCTTTCTGCCCTCTCTCTTCCGTCCCTCCACCCATACCAGTGAACTGGTTGAGTAAACTGAAGATGACTGTTCCAGCATTGTGGACATGGACCGGGCCTGAGAGAGACACAGACAAAGAGAAAGTGATATTAGATTCTATATTCATCATCAGCCTTATTCACTATGGATCTTGAAACTAATCAACTTCCCATGCTAATCCCCCATGGACTTCAAAGCATCATCTTTGCAAAACTCCAAGTTAAACGACTGACGTGCATCTATAGCAAAACCACAAGAGTAACTCAACCATATTTAGATTCCTTATTTTTCACGATCTTGGGGTGAAAATAATGATTTGTATGTATCCGTAGTACCCATATTTGCTGCTGTAAGGGGTGGTGGGTCCACTGTCTGGTGCTTAACACTGGGCTGTGGTTGTCTAGTATGGTGTAGATAAGTTGGCTCTTTGGTCTTGTTAGGCGACGCTTCTCTTACTCCCTTCATAAGAGCACAGAAATCCATAGTTACTGGAATAGACAATTGTCAACAATGCCTATATAGGGTTTAGGTCAGGCACACACAAATGACAATGTAAACATTACACACATAATGTAGTTAGTTACCGTAGGTATTACACATACCTTGTTACAGAACTTGAGAGCTGGAAAAAACAGACATAAATCTATTAGTCAACCCAGCAAACTGATGGTGAGCCATTCATGGGTATTTCATTGATGAATCATCTATGATTGAAAGGGCAATGTTTTATCATCTAACTCCACATTTTAATGCTTTCTAGGTACATGTAGACACTAGAAACAGGTAAGTAGGTCTACACAGAGAGAGTGTTGCAATCTTTTCATTAAATTACATACACAAGAAGCTACAGTTGGCTCCCAGTGCAGACCTACTTCTTGAAAAATCCTGATATCTGACATCACTGTCTAATCCTTCTTTTTTTTTTTTTCTTTTTTAATGCCATTTAGCAGACGCTTTTATCCAAAGCGACTTACAGTCTATCTATCTAGTCTCATTCTAGTGTACAGAGAGAGAGAGAGAGAGTTGGTCTGCTCTAACACAATGATCTAACTACAGTTGAGACTGAACAGAGGAACACTGCCTTACCTTGTTTGAAACAGGCTTCATCTCCTGGGCGACGGATACATAACAGAATGATAACGGCTAGGATTCCAATGACCACCATAGGACACAAAATGGCTGCCAGGTGTTTGCTGGTGTCAGCTGGTGGGGAAAGGAGATGGAGAAACTACTGTATCTGTACCTTACCACAGTTTCAATATATTCAGACTGTAATGAAAATAACTGATGGACACACACACACTCACCTGTTGTGTGATGTGTGGCGTTGCCTGCTTGTGAGACTGGTGATCCTGGAGTGTCACAGCTGGGTGAGACAGAGGTAAAGGACTCATCATGTAACACATCCATACACATTCACAGCCTGTCAACACTGAAGTGGGGCCATGCCACTGAGCTGAGAAATGTATTTAATATCCTAAAAATCCATTACCACTTAGATATCTGACAATTATTTGATACCGGATCTTCTGGTATGAAGGTTATATACAATAAAATAACAACCTTGCCAGAACTAGCCCTCCTGACAGGAGAAGGCTTTAACCAGAGCCTCTTTATCTGTCTGGTTACAGTATGTGACAGTCTGTGACAGTATGTGTAGGGAATATAAAAAAGGATAAAGGCTCACTGGGGAGGTTGACAGCGTCCAGCGGAAGAGGAAGTCCTGCTGTGTTCAGAGGAAGTTCCTGTCTGGTTGTTTCTGATGCCCACTACTGTAATCAGACAAAGTGCACACAGGCAGGAAAACATCAACATCTATCCACAACCAAACACACTGATTCAATATCCAGAACCTGGCAAAAATACAACACAGTGAAGGAAGACAGGCATAAGAGAAGGCCAATGGGCAACACACACACACAGTACAGTACCATTGCTAGGTGGCAGCAGCTGAGGGATCATCTCACAGTCTCTACAATTTCCTGTCTGGCCGTCTTGGTCGGTGCAGGTAAAACCAGCCTCACAGCGACATCTAGCGTTCGATACAGAAGTGCACGGCTCAACCTCCACCAGGTGCAAATCTGACACACAGACCCAAACAAACACAGCCAAAACAAAAGGTTTAGTACAGCTATTACATGGTAATAAATAGTGTCCATACTGTAGACATACATTCTATGACTTTTGGTAAGAAATGACATGTATGGCATATGGAAATCATAAGAGGGCGGTTTATGGAGATAGGGGGGACGGACTGAGAGTAGCTGAGGGGTGGGTTTAAAAGCTCATGTTCTATAATAGTTATGACTGAAAACACGATGTATAATGTATAAGCACTATCTATCTAGATGTAATGTATATCAAAATATCAAATTACTTTATTCTTGCTAAGTAACTACTGTAAAAAAAAAATGGCACGTATGTAAAATGGGTGTAGAATGTACATGTAACAACAAAATAAAAAGCTGTAGGACCTCCCAAGTGGCACAGTGGTCTAAGGCAATGCATCGCGGTCTAAGGCATCACTACAGACCCGGGTTCGATCCCGGGCTGTATCACAACCGGTGTGCTCGGGCAGCGCACAATTGACCCAGCTTCGTCCGGGTTAGGGGAGGGCTTTGCGGGGGGGGGGGTTTACTTGGCTCATCACGCTCTAGCAACTCCTTGTGGCGGGCCGGGCGCCTGCAAGCTGACTCTGGTAGTCAGTTGAACGGTGTTCCCTCCGACACATTGGTGCGGCTGGATTCCGGGTTAAGCGGGCGGGTCATGTTTTGGAGGACGCATGACTGGACCTTCGCCTCCCGAGCCTGTTGAGGAGTTGCAGCGATGAGACAAGATCGAAATTGGTGACAAAAAAGGGGGTGAAATAAAAAATGACCTGTTAAAAAAAAGTGTATTTTCGTCCTCCGAAGACGGGCCAAAAAATAAATAAAATAAGAATGATAAAAAGTTAACAAATAAATGACATAATGATTTACAAACAATATATAGTTGAAGTGTTTCTCACTAAATAAAGTGTTACTCAGATGTTACATTGCTCTGTGAATGAGTTGTTTGTGTTTATGTACCACGTTTGCAGTCTTTGAAGCAGGAATGACAACTGGACTCAGCGTTCAATCGTGTTGTGTAGGAACCATCACGACAGGGAGAGCACTCTGAACAGGACCTCTGATAATGACCTGAGATAGAGAGAGAGGGGAGGTGAAAGATATGGAAAGATATCAAATCAAGTTTATTGGTCACATACACAGTTTAGCAGATGTTATAGCGGGTGCAGCGAAATGCGTATGTTACTAGCTCCTAACAGTGCAGTAAAATGTCACAAATAAGTACACAAATAATTTAAGTGTGATTTTTTAATAAGAAATCAAGAACGTCGGGTTGAATCCAATTAACAACCCAAATGCAATCTATGCGTATGTACACTGGAAGATTTACTAAGAATTATATGTACAGCAGTAGATACAGTTGAAGTCGGAAGTTTTCATACACTTAGGTTGGAGTCATTAAAACTCGTTTTTCAACCACTCCACCACTTTCTTGTTAACAAACTATAGTTTTGGCAAGTCGGTTAGGACATCTACTTTGTGCATGACACAAGTAATTTTTCCAACAATTGTTTACAGACAGATTATTTCACTTATAATTCACTGTATCACAATTCCAGTGGGTCAGAAGTTTACATACACTAAGTTGACTGTGCATTTAAACAGCTTGGAAAATTCCAGAAAATGATGTCATGGCTTTAGAAGCTTCTGATAGGATAATTGACATAATTTGAGTCAACTGGAGGTGTACCTGTGGTGGATTTCAAGGCCTACCTTCAAACTCAGTGCCTCTTTGCTTGACATCATGGGAAAATCAAAAGAAATCAGCCAAGACCTCAGAAAAAATATTGTAGACCTGCACAAGTCTTGTTCATCCTTGGGAGCAATTTCCAAACACCTGAAGATACCACGTTCATCTGTACAAACAATAGTACGCAAGTATAAACACCATGGGACCACGCAGCCTTCATACCGCTCAGGAAGGAGACGCGTTCTGTCTCCTAGAGATGAACGTACTTTGGTGTGAAAAGTGCTTTATCAATCCCAGAACAACAGCAAAGGACCTTGTGAAAATGCTGGAGGAAACAGGTACAAAAGTATCTATATCCACAGTAAAACTAGTCCTATATCGACATAACCTGAAAGGTCGCTCAGCAAGGAAGAAGCCACTGCTCCAAAACCGCCATAAAAAAGCCTGACTACGGTTTGCAATTGCACATGGGGACAAAGATCGCACTTTTTGGAGAAATGTCCTCTGGTCTGATGAAACAAAACTAGAACAGTTTGGCCATAATGACCATCGTTATGTTTGGAGGAAAAAGGGGGAACTTGCAAGCCGAAGAACACCATCCCAACCGTGAAGCACGTGGGTGGCAGCATCATGCTGTGGGGGTGCTTTACTGCAGGAGGGACTGATGCACTTCACGAAATAGATGGCATCATGAGGAAGGAAAATTATGTGGATATATTGAAGCAACATCTCAAGAAATCAGTCAGGAAGTTAAAGCTTGGTCACAAATGGGTCTTCCAATGGACAATGACCCCAAGCATACTTCCAAAGTTGTGGCAAAATGGCTTAAGGACAACAAAGTCAAGGTATTGGAGTGGCCATCACAAAGCCCTGACCTCAATCCAATAGAAAATGTGTGGGCAGAACTGAAAAAGCGTGTGCGAGCAAGGAGGCCTACAAACCTGACTCAGTTACACCAGCTCTGTCAGGAGAAATGGGCCAAAATTCACCCAACTTATTGTGGGAAGCTTGTGGAAGGCTACCCGAAACATTTGATCCAAGTTAAACAATTTAAAGGCAACGCTACCAAATACTAATTGAGTGTATGTAAACGTCTGACCCACTGGGAATGTGATGAAATAAATAAAAGCTTAAATAAATCATTCTCTCTACTATTATTCTGACATTTCACATTCTTAAAATAAAGTGGTGATTCTAACTGACCTAAGACAGGGAATTTTTACTAGGATTAAATGTCAGGAATTGTGAAAAACTGAGTTTAAATGTATTTGGCTAAGGTGTATGTAAACTTCCGTCTTCAACTGTATATTAGAATGTGCTATGTTGGGAATACAGTATTTAAATGCTCAGTGTGAAATGGGAAGTGTCCAGTGGTTCAATGTCTCTAAGACATGGGACAGCAGATATGGAGTAAAGGAAATGAAGTTTGGGAAAAATATAGGGAAATAGAGCGATAGAGAGAACAAGCTAGAAAGAGAGGAGCAAGGAGAGAGTGAAGAGACAAGGGAAGTCAAGGCATAAGTAAGCACTACAATAACAATACGAAATGATAGACGCTGCAGTTTTATAAATGTCCTGTAATAGACTACATGAGTATTGGATGTCAGAACATAATGCTAACTCTTTTTGACACATAGGCACACACACATTCAGGTACCGTTTTAGTACACAGTCTGTTGCTGACTGAGAAGAGAGGGAGTATAGTGACAGAGAGCAGAGAATAACAGGAAGAGATGGAGAGCACAGAGCGAGAGCCTTTTGGCCTAGTCTGCATACTAATGAAGGATGTGGTCATAGCACAGCGCTCCAGTTCTCATCATGAGAGAGAGAGAAACCATCTCATAGTTTCCTCATGATTCCTAAGAACCTATGCACATTCAGAGACTCACATGCGCACACTCACACACATTCTGAAACAAACTATTAATGTAGAAAATGGTAATATGTTGTGATTGTAGGACGAAGTGATAAAATGTGGAGATGAGGGCAGAAGAATAAGGGAAATATAAATCAAATAAAAAGTAAGGGGCTATCATGAAGGGCATTTCTTTCTCACCTGGCGGACACAGTCTGCACTGTCTCCCTGCATCCATGTAATATGTCTCTGTAGTCTGACAACACACAACACAAACACACAGTCTCATGAGATCTATGATACTGTCAAACGGTTATAACAGACTTCATAAGCAGTCATAACAAATAACAAGAACGGACATAAAAGGGACAAAATGGTTACCAGAGGATATGAGAATGCTAGGTGTGCAGACAACATCAGCGCAGCCACAAAGAACTGTTCCACTGCCATTCTATAAACAATGATAAATCATTAACTGTCTGTCATTTGAGTTAATTCAGTAACATTTCTAAATAGGTATTAAAAAGTACACACAACAAATAATGCCAAAAGACATTACAAGGTTACTACATGTTGAAAATCTGTACATTTATCATAATTTGATGGTGACTGCACTAACTTCTAGCTTTGAGCCTCAATTCAGTTCAAAATATATTAATGTAAAAATCTGTGGTGTAAACAACCAACACATAAGATAATCTAGTCTTACCTTTAGCACTGCCAAGTATTTGTTGTCTGTAACTTCGACTCCCCCCCCCCCAAACTATTATTCTTTAAGGTGTGTCTCTCTCTCTCTTCTCTACCCATCCTTTGCGTCATTATTTCCTTCACCTGTGACATCTTCCTCTCTTCCTGTCTATCCCGCCCACTGTGTACTGACAGTGATGTGGTGGTGTCTTTACAAGCTAGAGACAGACAGGCAGACAAGACATGCAGACAAGACAGGCATGCCAGCAGAATGACTAATGCTTCTGAACCAAAGTCTCATCATTTTCAACACATATTAAGATGTGAAAGACAGATTGTCACAAAACATTTTCTCTCGCTGTCCTCGTAAAGATAGCATATCAGGCAGGTGCAGTTCAGGAAGTACAGACACACATAGTAGCCAATGCAAGTGGGTTTCTAGCCTCCAGTGATGCTATCTCTTTCATCTTTACCCAACGCTTAGGTTTACCTCCACTGTACTCATATCCTTCCATATCCTTGTCTGTACATAATGCCCTGAATCTATTCTACAACGCCTGGAAATCGGCCCCTTTTTTCCTTTGTACCCAACGCACTAGAAGACCAGTTCTTAAAGCCTTTAGCGGTATCCTTATTCTACTCCTCCTCTGTTCCTCTGGTGATGTAGAGGTTAACACAGGCCCTGTAGCCCCCAGTATCACTCCTACTCCCCAGGCGCTATCATTTGTTTACTTCTGTAATCGCAAAAGCCTTGGTTTCTTGCATGTTAACATCAGAAGCCTCCTCCCTAAATTTGAGTTATTCACTGCGTTAGCACACTCAGCCAACCCTGATGTTCTAGCAGTGTCTGAATCCTGGCTTAGGAAGGCCACCAAAGATTCTGAAATGTCCATTCCCAACTACAACATTTTCCGTCTAGATAGAACTGCCAAAGGGGGCGGAGTTGCAATCTACTGTAGAGATAGCCTGCAGAGCTCTATCATACTATCCAGGTCTGTGCCCAAACAGTTTGAGCTTCTACTTCTAAAAATCCACCTTTCCAGAAATAAGTCTCTCACTGTTGCCACTTGCTACAGACCCTCATCAGCCCCCAGCTGTGCCCTGAACACCATATGTGAATTGATTGCCCCCCCATCTATCCTCAGAGTTCGTATTGCTTGGTGACCTAAACTGGGATATGCTTAACACCCCGGCCGTCCTACAATCTAAACTAGATGCCCTCAATCTCACACAAATTATCAAGGAACCGACCAGGTACAACCCTAAATCCGTTAACATGGGCACCCTCATAGATATCATCCTGACTAATTTACCCTCTAAATACACCTCCGCTGTCTTCAACCAGGATCTCAGCGATCACTGCCTCATTGCCTGCGTCCGTAATGGGTCCGCGGTCAAACGACCACCCCTCATCACTGTCAAACGCTCCCTAAAACACTTCAGCGAGCAGGCCTTTCTAACTGACCTGGCCCGGGTATCCTGGATGGATATTGACCTCATTCCGTCAGTAGAGGATGCCTGGTTGTTCTTTAAAAGTGCTTTCCTCTCCATCTTAAATAAGCATGCCCCATTCAAAAAATGCAGAACTAAGAACAGATATAGCCCCTGGTTCACCCCAGACTTGACTGCCCTTGACCAGCACAAAAACATCCTGTGGCGTACGGCATTAGCATCCAACAGCCCCCGCGATATGCAACTTTTCAGGGAAGTCAGGAACCAATATACACAATCAGTTAGGAAAGCAAAGGCTAACTTTTTCAAACAGAAATTTGCATCCTGTTGTAGTATCTGAAGATTCTTTGACTTTGGCTGAGGGTTGCATATTCTGCTTTGCGGAAACATCTGGAAAACATTACTATAGGGGCCCCCTAAGACAGAGGAGATTCGGATGTGTAAAGGCCAGGGATTGGTCTATAAAAAACCACCCATATTATGTTACATATTATAAATACCATGGTTGGAACAAAGGACGGGGAGAAATAACATATTAGAGATTGGGTCAGTTATTCTCCAGATGTCTGCAGGAGTCTGTAAATTGATACTGTTATCTTTGATGTAATAAACCATTATAATCAAGGACAGTATCAGCGGATTTCTTGTCATCACAGCATATCAGCATCGTTGTCTCGGACACTACATTAATGGCGACGAGGATGGGATGTGTTGCGTCTGTTTCGGCGTTGCATCATGGGCTCCGAGCTGACTCTCGCTCCAGAGTCCGGCAGATAAGGGTGAGTTTTCTCACCACTTTGGGCACTGGTCAGTTCGTGTGCTTGTGTGTGTGTGTGCGTTGAGCGGATGTACCGTTTGGAACTTGCGTGTGCGCTTTGCTGTTATTTGCTGTGTGATGAGAATCCGTTCTAAATTTCTACATTTGTTTGCGTTGAAAACAACGCAAACAGGGAGGAGTGTCTATAGGAATTGATAACACTGGGCACAGGGATATTTGGCTTGAATAAAATTAAAGGGAAAAGGAATAGAATGAAGGAATAAGGCCAGGAACTAAGGAAAAATGTACACTAATTAGGACGTCGCTGATTTAAGGAAGCCCTCAAACGAGGCGATCATTAGGATGGGCCGAAAATCCTGAAAACTCACTAGGTTGATTTTTAAGGTCAGTTCTGGGAACTGGAGTTTGTGGTAGATACATTCAATTGCATGTTACCCCCCGACATATAGTTGACGAGGTATGTGTTCTAAGTAACCTCTCATTGAATATCTGCAACTCGAGGTAGCAGAAATTTAGGAAGGAACAATGAGAAATAAGGAGCGACGGTAGCATGCTCTAGAGGACCGTATGAATGGATGCATTCTTTTCATGTGTGTGTGTGAAAGAGAGCCTATGCGTGTGTGTACATGGGGAGGTCTCTGTTGTGTTTCAGCTGTGTGTCGACTCATGTTATGATAAGATTTATGTTAGAAATATATACATATATATGTTTTGGTTGAGAACAGGGGTTTTAGTTTTTTGTAAGGAAATATGTTAGTTAAGGTTAAAATCTTATGAGTCTCTATAAAAGAGAACGTTTAATAATTGTTAAAAAACTATGAGCCCCTGGGAGGACGATTATGGGTAATGGATAAGAAAATAGATTGTGGTAAACTTAAGTAACTTCGAAGTAGGATTTGTGTTCTATGTTCTGTGTTGGTTTGTGAGTTTTGTTAAGTGTTACTGTTTGTCTGTGTTGGAAATAACGGAGGGACAGCTGGTCTGTCTGCTTTCTGTTGTTTAGCTTGGAGAGAGCTGCTTGGGAGAGCTCTTCTCACTCTGAAATCGCATTGGTGAATGAGCTGCGCATGCGTGGGATTTTATGAGTTTAGAGTTACAGTGGAGAAAAAAAGTATTTAGTCAGCCACCAATTGTGCAAGTTCTCCCACTTAAAAAGATGAGAGAGGCCTGTAATTTTCATCATAGGTACACGTCAACTATGACAGACAAACGTTTTCTGTAAGTCTTCACAAGGTTTTCACACACTGTTGCTGGTATTTTGGCCCATTCCTCCATGCAGATCTCCCCTAGAGCAGTGATGTTTTGGGGCTGTCGCTGGGCAACACGGACTTTCAACTCCCTCCAAAGATTTTCTATGGGGTTGAGATCTGGAGACTGGCTAGGCCACTCCAGGACCTTGAAATGCTTCTTATGAAGCCACTCCTTCGTTGCCCGGGCGGTGTGTTTGGGATCATTGTCATGCTGAAAGACCCAGCCACGTTTAATCTTCAATGCCCTTGCTGATGGAAGGAGGTTTTCACTCAAAATCTCACGATACATGGCCCCATTCATTCTTTCCTTTACACGGATCAGTCGTCCTGGTCCCTTTGCAGAAAAACAGCCCCAAAGCATGATGTTTCCACCCCCATGCTTCACAGTAGGTATGGTGTTCTTTGGATGCAACTCAGCATTATTTGTCCTCCAAACACGACGAGTTGAGTTTTTACCAAAAAGTTCTATTTTGGTTTCATCTGACCATATGACATTCTCCCAATCCTCTTCTGGATCATCCAAATGCACTCTTGCAAACTTCAGACGGGCCTGGACATGTACTGGCTTAAGCAGGGGGACACGTCTGGCACTGCAGGATTTGAGTCCCTGGCGGCGTAGTGTGTTACTGATGGTAGGCTTTGTTACTTTGGTCCCAGCTCTCTGCAGGTCATTCACTAGGTCCCCCCGTGTGGTTCTGGGATTTTTGCTCACCGTTCTTGTGATCATTTTGACCCCACGGGGTGAGATCTTGCGTGGAGCCCCAAATCGAGGGAGATTATCAGTGGTCTTGTATGTCTTCAATTTCCTAATAATTGCTCCCACAGTTGATTTCTTCAAAACAAGCTGCTTACCTATTGCAGATTCAGTCTTCCCAGCCTGGTGCAGGTCTACAATTTTGTTTCTGGTGTCCTTTGACAGCTCTTTGGTCTTGGCCATAGTGGAGTTTGGAGTGTGACTGTTTGAGGTTGTAGACAGGTGTCTTTTATACTGATAACAAGTTGAAACAGGTGCCATTAATACAGGTAACGAGTGGAGGACAGAGGAGCCTCTTAAAGAAGAAGTTACAGGTCTGTGAGAGCCAGAAATCTTGCTTGTTTGTAGGTGACCAAATACTTATTTTCCACCATCATTTGCAAATAAATTCATAAAAAATCCTACAATGTGATTTTCTGGATTTTTTTTCTCATTTTGTCTGTCATAGTTGACGTGTACCTATGATGAAAATTACAGTCCTCTCTCATCTTTTTAAGTGGGAGAACTTGCACAATTGGTGGCTGACTAAATACATTTTTTTCCCACTGTACGTAGAGCAAATATGCCACTCCCCTGCCTGCACTGTGCTGCTGTGACATGCAGACAGAGAAGAAAGGGGGAGACTTACACACGGATAAAGTATTCTGTTTGATAAGTGGCTGTTGCTTAACTATGAAACTATTTGATTGAGATCTATTGAATTTATAAATGAGAGATATGTTGACGGATTAAAAATAATAATAATTAAATAAATAAATAAAATAAAATGTTATTGGGCTATTTATAATATTCCAGAGTTAAGCTGTTTGCTTATTTCATAGCGCGAATGTGAAC